GTTTGGAGTAGGCTAGAGGCACTGGCAGCTTCCCCACCAACCCTGGGTGTCATCAGGGGCCTGGTGTCCCTCCCTGGCAGGGAGGGTTTCCCTGAACAATAGGCATTGGCCTGGCAAACCTAGGGTGCTGGCCTTTGCCTTTTCTTCCTGCGGGCGGGTGCGGTCTGCCTTGGGAGCCCTGTAAAATCGGACAGGAAATGTCTGTATGAGTGGGCCCCACTGGCCCTGGAGTGGGGTGGCAGGTGATGGAGATTTCCCCAAAACTCAAAGGAATGGGGACTTGGTTGGGGGAGTGTGGGACCTAAGGTCTGCAGCAACATCAGGTGCCAGGGGGTGGCTGCTGTTCTCTGGGCTCCAAGCTGTTGGCCCTCGGTCGGATGGCCTGCAGAGCCGTGAGCGGACAGTCTCTGGGCACCATGCAGGGATGACTGCTGCTTCCTGCCCCAGCTGGCCATCCCCCCAGGCATCAGGATCCGTGGGGGCTGAATGGAAATTGAAACATGTCTGAAACTCAGAATTGATGTAAATGCCCGGAGAGCTGTGGCCACAGACTCCATGCCCTCAGTGTGGCACTAAGCACAGAGGGGTAATTGGAAGTCCGTCTTGTTCTCTTAGCCTGACCCTCTCTGGACCCCCAGGGGTGGGGGATGGGACCCGAGGCTCTGTGGAGGGGATGTCAGGAGTGCAGAACGCTGAGTCAGTGGTCTGAACATGCCGGCCTGGTGTGGCTGAGGCTGCCCTGCCTTGAGTAACCAGCCTGGGGTTCTTTTTCCACCAGAGCTGATCTGAGCTCCTGGTGTGGAGGTAAAGGAAAGAGTCCAGTGCGGTCCACAGGGCCCCCCGCCCCGCCAGCCCCTTACCTCCTGGGGGTCTGGCCCTCAGGAGGTCTGATGGAGACTCTCTCCCTGGGACCCGGGCCAGCTTGGTGGGGACATGGAGCTTGACAAATGAGCAGCATGTGTCAGGGCTCCTGACAGGCTGGGTTCCAGGAGCTGGGGCCTGGGGGGGGGACCCGCACGGGGGAGAAGGGCAGGAGGGAAGGTGTGTCAGCAGCCCCGCCCCAGCTCGCTGCTCGGAGCCCCCTCACCCGTGGCTTCTCCGCTCGCCTGCCTGGAAGCCTGGGCCTGCCTCTTCGTTCTCCTGCTCTTGTCTCGGAACATGGTGCCATACTGCTGACCTACTCAGGGCTGGGCCTGGGGCAGCCTGGGGTGATGAGGCCCAGGCTAGTGGAGGGAGGGAGGCGTGCCCGTGGCCTGGGGGACCCTGTCAGGCTGTCTTCTTCTTGCGGGGGTGGCAGGTGGCTGCAAACCAGACACCCAGTGGCTCCATGAGCATTGCTGGAGAAGGGCACACAGCCTCCCTGCATGCATCCTCTGGGAAGCTCCCATCAATCCGTGGGACAGGCCCCTGGGAGGTCCCCCGACCCCTGGTGGAGTTGCTGCGGCAGCTCCCCGGGCCCTGAGGGATCTCCAGGTGGTGGGGAAGCAGGCTCCTGAGCAGGACGTGCGGGTGGAATCCGGCTCCCTTGTGTCCAGCTTGGGGCCCTGTGTGTGTCCCCACACTCCAAGCCCTGTCACTGCCCACCACATGGTTTGAGGAGGCAGCGGGCTGGGGAGCGTGAAGTGCCCGGCCCAGGGCTGGTAATGGTCATTTTCCTTCCCACATGGGGCAGCAGTGTGAGACCCAGGGAAAAGCCCTTGCTCACGATTCCTTTGCAACCCTCTGTGAGCTTCACCCCATTCTCAGCGGTGAGTAAGAGTCTGGGAACCCTCTTCTCAGATGGGGACCCTGAGGCCCCAGGCTGCACTGGGGGAGAGCTGCCCACACCTCAACCTGCTGCACTGCTCTGCTTGCCAACACCATGGTTCTTTCCAGAGGCCTGGGTCGCCCGGATCTCATGGTGCACCTGCCAGGGGTCCTCTGGCTCCGGGTGGGCACTGAAGAGGGACTCGGCCTTTAATGACCCGCAGCCTGTCCATCCGCCTGGAGCTCACATGCTGAGCGGCCACGCTCTCGCCACCATCCGGGCCTGAGCAGGTGCCTGGGGAGGGGCAGGAAGGCCTGACGTTTAGAGGAGGGGTGGTGGTTTGTCGCCAGGACCCCTGGGGAATGGAACAGGGTGGCAGTAGGATGGCAGGGGGAGTGCAATATGGGGGTCAAGGTCCTCAGTTCCTGGAGGAAGGCAAGGCAGCCCTTCAGGGTCACTCTCCTGGGAGCTGCTCTGTCCACTTCTTCAGCCGGGGCCAGGAGACCCAGAGGCGGGTCCCTCCCTGCCCCCTGCAGCTGCACAGACTCAGGCGGCCACTGGGGCCCGTAGGCCCTTGGCCTTTGGCTTGCTGGGTGCCCAGATGCCTCCGCACTGGCTGGGCTGCAGCACAGACCTCCCAGTCCCCAGCCTGGGTCTGAGCTCTGTTCCCACCCAGCCCCCAGCCACCCTGCCCAGGCTGGGGCACAAACAATTAAAGCCCCTCAGTCCCCAATTGGTTTGCGGTATTAAAAACGAATTGCGATCAGCTGGGTTGTCATTTCTACCTGAAAAAACGTCACTTTTATTGATCTCACTCACCCCATGCCGTCATTTATCTTGCTTCAGCATTTCACATGATGACTCGTTTGTCTTGATCAAAGTGTAGTCCTGCACGTTTAACCCTTGGGGCTCTGCAGCATACGGCCCACACCCTGTCCCCGGCCCAGGTTCTGGAAGGCAAGGGCCACCCGTGAGTTAAGGTGGGGAGAGGGAGGTGGGCAGGAAGGCAGCTGGGCCAGGGTTTGGGGAGCAGAAGGAAGGCTGCAGGGAGCAAAGCCCTGGGGCCACCTTGTCCTGCTGTGGCCCTGTAGTCCGCTCACCCCCAGGTGCCCGCAGGGCCCCGCTCACCCGGAGTGGGGCTGCAGAGGAAGTGGTCCCAATCTGATTGCAGCCCCTCTCCCTATAGCATCAGGCGTGTCCCATTGTCCAGCTCACAGCGCGGATGCCCTTGGGTGCCCCTGTGAGACCGGCTGCAGCAGGGGGCCCAGTGCTGGAGCCACGTGGCCTGGCTTAGCCCCAGTGCCACTCTTTTGGCTGATGGGGGCCTTACCTATGACGCAGTTCCACGGGGAGGTTGTCTTGGCTGCATAGCTGTGCTGTCTTTTCCTGTCTACCTCTTTCACGGAACCATGGTGTCTGGAAGATCATGGCGCTGGTCTGGGCTGCCTGGTGTACTGCTGGCCCTGTGCTCGTTCCATGGAGAATTCAAACCTGTGACCTGCCAGCAGAGGAGGGTTCCACTGGCTCCTAGGCAGGTGTCAGGGCTGACCTTTCTGTACCTTGTCATCCATCCTGTCTGGCCCCACCCCCCCCTTGACCCAGAGCATCCCTCATGACCTCTGGTGCCCACCAGCCTCCCTGTGTGCCAGACAGCTCATGGGCTGGGCAGGAGGCACCCAGGCCTTTCTCCCTGCTCAGGCTCTAGTCCATCCTGGATTCTGCCCCAGCCTGTAACCAAAGGCAGTGAAGCTGGGGACTCCCAAGCCCACGGGGGTCTCTGGTCCTCAAGACTCCCTCCCCTGCCACAGAGGGTCCTAGGCCAGAGACCTGGATCGGATCGGAAGCACTCCCTGGCTCGTTCACACCTCCTGGCACAAGGTCGGTCCCGCTTTCAGCCTGGCCCCAGGCCTCCAGGCCCCTCTCTCCGTCCTCCTGCTGCAGCCCTGGAACTGGGCTCATGTCCCGGGCTTTTGGGGGGCGGGCTGGCCAGGCCAGGAACCTCCCGGCTCACCTGGGCGAAGTCAGAGGCTGCTGACGCTCAGACTCAGCAAACCTAAGGGTGGAGTTTGCCTTGGGGCCCATTCAGAGCAGATGTGTGCCACGCAGCCCCCGCCTCTTGTTCGGGAACCCCATTCTAACCACCCTTGTTTGGTGGGTGCGGAAGGGACTGAGAGAAGAGCTTGACAAGTCTGTCCTGCCCCCAGTCCCCAAGCTCAGGCCTCTGACCAGGTCCTGCGACCTTCTCCTGCACCCCCGGGAGGGGCCTGGCTCTGCTCCGTCAGCCTTTTCTGATCAGGTCGGTCCAGCAGAGGAAATGAGAAGGCAGGGTGCAACTGGCTGTGGGCAACAAGTGTGCGCGCGTGTGTGTGTGCAGGTGTGCAGGCAGACATGTGCATATGCAAATGACTTGTAGCTTCTCACACACCTGGTGGGTCACAGCCTCACTCACTGGTCTTACCATGGTCCTACGTACTTGCCCTGACAGGGGTCCCCAATTCCAGCTGGCACCTTCTTCCCCACAGGTCTCGGAGGTGAAGGGAGAAGAGGGCACCCCCCCCTCTGCCTACGTGGCAGGGTTCTGGGAAAACCCTCCCAGGCCTGCAGCCTCAGTGGGCACAGCCTTCTGTAGCTGGGGGTGTGCTGAGGATCCTCTGAGCTCCGCAGATGTACCTTCCCTCCCAGCACCTCCCGGCTGTGCGTTGTCAACTCTGTTAACAGTAGGGAGCACTTGTTTATTTATAGCTCTGCACACCTGCCAGTCCAGAAAATGTTTGCTGAATGAATGAGAATGAATTCACGCTTTCCTTGAGGAGGGCATCTCCTGTCTGGTCTGCTCAGATCCCACCCCCCGTGGCCACAGCACCCTGGGGTCTGCCTGCCTTTCCCCTCGTGCCTGGGCCTTGTGGAGGCTGACCTTTCCCACGTCCCCTCCAGGGGCGCCTGCCCTGGCCGCACGGACTTGTTCAGGCTGGACACTGATCCACCTCTGGTGAGATCTTTATAAGGAAAGGGGTCATGTCCTGGGGGCTTCAGAGACCAAGGCCATCCCGGGCCCATTCTGGCCACACGTTCCCCTTGCGGCCCAAGGGGCTCTGCTCTGGCTAACATGGGGAGGGCCTCACCCAGAGCCCCAGTCTCAGGCCTCGGCCACATCCACGAAGGCCCTTGAGCCACTAGGGCACCCAGGGGGTCACCGTCTCAAGTGCACATGGATGCTGAGGTACAGGTAGGATTCTGGAACACTGAAAAGCTGTACAATAGTTCATATATTTATTCTTAAGCAAGTTATCAATAAAAAATTTAATACTAAAATGCCTTTACATAGAGTTTGCTGTTCATAAAACCTTTGTGTGTGTTTTGTTTTAGTGTTTACATTGAAAAAACATCCACCCCTCCTCTTAGTTTACACATTTACAATAATCGTGCTTTTTGCCAGGTCCAACCATGGTCAGCGGGGCAGGGCCGCGCCGTCCACACGCACACAGTGGGAGAAGAGAGGGCAGAGGGAGCCCGGCAGGCGGGGAAGAGTCAGCGAGGGGCCCAGGAAAGGCCTTCCCTTAGCTCGGTGCTCGGGCTGGGAAAGAGCCCTCAGTCCCGATTTCTGCAGCTGGGCCGCCCCACTCGGTGCCTCTGCACAACACACCTTCTCCACTCGGCACCTTCTGCCTCCCCAGTCGTGAGAGGACCTTGGCCGCCACCTCCCGGATGACCACCAGGAATGAAATATTGCACTTGTGCAGAGACAGAGAGGAGAGTCCGGGCGGGGGAGGGACGCTGGGGTGCAGGGGGCCTCTCCCTGTCCTGGCACTTCCCGCGGGGCCACCAGGAGCTGGAGGAGGGCCCTCTAGAGGGGCTGGGGGGGGTTCCTGGTGGAAAAGAAAAGGGGGCTGAGGGGCCGACTGGGGCACTCAGCACCCACAAACACCCCTCGTTTCCTGGTCTGGGCTGTGGGTCCACAGGTCACTCAACTCACCCTAAGGAGCGGTGGCTGACTTGTGGGACTTTGCCGGGGCTCCTGGTGGGGCCTGGGGAACCTCGGTGTGGTGGGGCATGGGGGCACACAGCCCTCAGCGCGTTTTGAGGACAAGAGCCGTTGGTCCACAGGTCTGGTTCTGTCTGTCCCTCCTGACTGCCGGGGAAGGCGGCAAGTTCTCTGGGGCTGCCGGGGTGGGTCTGGGGGTCTGGGGCACCCACCTGGCACCACAGAGCCCAGTGGTACTGGGTGTAGGGGTAAAGAGACCCCTGGGGGGTGCTCCCTGCACTTGGGGCCAGGGCATAGGCTCGGGCAGGCCAGGGGGATTCCTGCTCCGTGCCCCAAGCTAGCCCAGCAAGCCCTCTGCCTGCCAAGTGACCACAGACAAGGCCTGGAGACCTCCAAGTGTTGATGGGGATGGTCCCTTCCCTGCTGTTACTGGAGGTCAAACTGGCCATTGAAACAGAAATCAGAAAACAACTTGGAATATTCAGTAAATGAGATCAAAACATCACTTTTTCATATCTATACTTTAAAATATTTGTTCATTTTTGTTTTGTTTTAAACAGAGGTAAGATACATATGGCTGCTATTGTGCTGTGGCCAGAGGACCGGATGGTCCTGGCTTCCACTTTAGCCTCTAGAACCCCATATCCCCCCGAGGGACCCTCATTCTTGCCCCCACACCCCCCAAAAAAGGCTTTCTTTCTTAGGAGATGGATTAGAAGGAAATACACTTGGGTGTGACTTCCATCTCACGCAGGCCCAAGGGTCAGCAGTGTAGCCGGGGTGCCCACCTCCACCCGCCTTCGGAGTCACAGAAGCCGCGTCGGAACTCAGCTAGGCTGAGGACAACAGTGCATTTTCAAAGAAACCCCAGAACAAAACCTCCCCCACATACACACGCACACACCCATGCACACACCCCCTCACCACGCGTGTAGGGAAAAATCTTTCCCATTTTTTTTTTCCATAAAACTTCCCCGCAGAAATACAATATTTACATAGAGAAATAAATAGACAGCACACCTGACTCGGCTCGCCCTGGTGGGGACAGTCGGAGGTACTAGGGAAAATATGGCTTGGATTCTAATCTCTCGGGTCCTGCGGCGGGAAAGCAGAGCAGCCGTGGCCCAGGGCAGGCCGCGGTTCCCAGGCCCCGGCGCTCTCTCCTTCCCAGGGAAACAGGAGGGAAGCCTGGTTCTTGCCTTGGTGGGTTTGCATATTTGCTCAGATGTGCCCCTCCGAGGTGCAGGGCACAGGCTCGCGTGGCGGCACGGGGCTCACCACTGCCTGTCAGCCGTCCTCCTGCCGCACACTCCTGACACCCCTGGGCACAGTCCGGGTGCAGGCTCAGCATAGGATGGGCACGCCGTCAGCTGTCACCAGGCGCCCCGTGGTGGGGTCATAGGTGCCTGCCAGGTAGTAGAGGTCTTGCCGGTCCTGGCACTTCCGGCTCCGCATCATCTGCTCATACTGCTCGCGCCCCACGACCTGGCACTTGTGGGAGATGGTCTGCACATCGTTCTCATCCTCATGGCAGGACTGGTACAGTGCGTTCTGCCAGGCAATGAGGCGAGGAGCGTGTGGTGTTGGCAGCCGGCCTCGGTCAGCCCATCCCACCCACCCCAGGATGCACCCTGGGTTTGGGAAGGGCCACTTGGAAAAGCTGCTTAGCTGTATGGCTGGGCACCTTTGCCTGGGACACTCTTTCCCCAGCAGAGTTAGAGAAACACTTGTTTCTGAGCCACCTGCTGGGGCCCAAGCCCTGGGCTGTGGTGGCTTCTTGCAGAGCCTGCCCCGGCCCTGGGCCCAGAGGCCTCCGGTGTGGGGGACGCAACAGGATGTCTGCAGCCACAGCCTTGTTGTCCACACCCCCCAGTCCTCACCTTCCCGTCACTCTGCCGCTTCCCCAGCTTGGTCTCCTCTGGGTGGTAGAACCACTTGACCTTCACCACCATGTTGCTGCCCCACGACTCCCACATGCTCTCGATGCGGCCAATGTAGGGTAGGTTGGGCCGCCCAGCCGACAGGAAGACGGCACAGTCCCCGATGTGCAGCGTCTCCTTGCCCCTGACGATGGCCTTGTAGAACAGCTTCCTGGCCTTCCCCTTCATGCCCCGCCTCTGCAGGGGGACACCCAGAGGCAGGGGTGATGAGGGTGCCCAGGGGTCTTGGGGACAGGTGGTGGCTGGGAGACAGTAGAGACAGGATGACAGAGAGAGCAAGTGGGGAAGACAGGTGGAGGCATGTGTGTGAACATGCATGTGGGCACCTTTGAAGGAGGGACAAGCGGTAGCCACAGACCCAGGACGTGGCCAGCCCCGTGGCTCTGCCCTGCACACGAGTCACGACATCAGGTGGACAGGGACTAAAGGAACACGCGCTGGAGGTGCGAGGGCAGAGCCCAGAGATGTTCTCCACAGAGCTGTTTACAAACAGCTGCCCGCTGGCAGAGATCTCGTGCCCGCAGCGGAGCACTCTGCCTCCCCCCCAGCACTGGCTGCACTGCCTATGGATGTGGGAAGATGGTGGGCACAGCCCCCAGAGCAGGGTACGCTCACATGCTGGGGCGCAAAAATCATTTCCACGATCACACTGGCAAAGGGCTCGGAGGGGAACAACAAGGGTGGTTGTTTACCTCGCTGGATTGCGGCTGCCACTTTGTTTTTCCCTTGAATCTCCCTTTTTTCTTTTGGTTGAAATTGAATAGAACAACCCGAAACAGGAGAGAGAAGGAGAGGAGGCCAAGGAGCAGAAACGCACGCCCCCTCCCCAGGCACCCGGGGCTCCGGCTGGGCCGCCCCTGCTGGGGGCGGGGAGGAGGCGGCCCACCTACCTGTGTGGGGCTCCCGGACCACTTCCAGAGCTGCCGGGCAGGCAGGAAGGCTGAGATCTTTGGCCGGTTCTCCACGGAGGGCGGCCGCTGCCTCCGGGAAAGCTCTTTGGCTTTGGAAAAGCTCAGGGCTTCCTTGCGCTTGAGTTTGGACTTGCTGCTGCCGGGGCCCGCGCCCGCGCCCGCCGCGGCCCTGGCGAGGAAGCAGCGCTGGGCGTGCACGTGGGGGCCACCCCCCTTGACGCGCAGGGTCTCGGGCTGGGCCAGCAGGGCGGGCACAGGGTGCGTCAGGCAGGTCTGCAGCAGCAGGGCCGGGTCCTCGTCCTCAGAGCTGTAGGATGAGCCCTCGTCGTCGGAGGAGCAGAGGCTGGACGTGGACAGGGAGCCCGAGGAGGAGGAGGTGGATGAGCCCGAGGAGGAGGAGGATGCAGGCAGGCGGGCGAGGAAGCGGGTGGGCACGCCGGGGGCCAGCCCGGGCCCATCGTCCTCCTCGTCCGAGTAGGAGCTGTGGCAGTCGCTGTCACAGGGCAGCGGATACTCAGCCTGGCCCGCGAACTTGCGCAGCGCCAGGCCCACAGGCAGCGGGTGGACGGGTGCCCGCGCCTTCCTGTCCTTGCCCACAAGGGCTGGGTGCGCGTAGCTGGGGCTCGGCAGGGGCCGCGCCAGCTTGGGCCCCAGGTCCTTGTCGCCCATGAGCAGGGCCTTGCAGTTCTTGTTCTTGGGGGAGGTCACACCCTCGTGGTCCAGCTTGACCAGGAACTCTCCACCTGGCCTCCGCCGCCCACCCTTCTCGGCCTCCGCCCGTTCTGCTTTCTTGGCCCGCAGCAGCTTGTGGGCGCCCCCGGGCAGGCCCGTCCCGCCTCCACTGACGAAGGGCGCGTAGGAACTGGCCAGGCTGCTGAAGGAATCTGCACGGAAGCCGTTGCCGAACACAGGTGCAGCCATGCTGTGCACGGGGAACAGCGCCTCGCGGGCGCGCAGCTTCTTGGCACTGCCGTTGAGCTGGAAGAGGTTTGGCAGCATGCCTGGTCCCTTGCTGCCCACCGTTGCCGCAGCCACAGCCTTTCGCTTGGTCTGTGCGACCGGGGACCAGCTCAGCAGTGGGCTGCTCCGGCGGCCCAGGAAGTGGTCGGAGGCCCCCGAGGGGGACTTGGCACCTGAGGTTAGGAGCTCCGCTTTGCCTGGGTGGAGGCCAGGTAGGGTCAGAGGTACCACCTGCCCAGGCCCCCCGCCTGGCCCTGTACCTCCTGGTCTCCCACCCCAACCAGGATGCTCTGCCCACTTGGGCTCTTGGCCATCCCCAGTACCAGCTTTGTCTTTGCCGATGGATTTCTTCCCAGGGGTCTTGGAGGCTTCAGCGCCATCATGTGCCTTGGGGGACAGGCTGGGAGCAGCCTCGCTGGGTGCGGGGGCCGCGAAGGAAGCTTTCTTGGTCCTCCGGCAGCTGCTGGACACCAGCAGGGCGGGCGAGGGCTCAGTGCCTGCAGGGCGGGCCAGGGCTCAGTGCCGTGCCACGGGGCGACCGCTGCCCCTCACACCCTCCTGGGGAGCCTGCCGTCAGCGTGGGGGAGGCCCCAGGGCTCACACTGGATCTTGAAGTCCGGGGGTAGCAGCCTGATGTCAGAAATGGCGATGTGGCCTGTGTCGCCGTCATCAAACTCCACCAGCACGGAGTCCAGGTCCTCCTCCTCGTCGCTGGAGGCGCCTGGGGACAAGGCCACCTGAGCACATGGCCCTCTGCTCGGGGCTCAGGGGGCTCTCTCTGGCTGCCGGGCGGCCGGGGTGGGAGGAGGACAGGAGGACTGCCAGGCACCTAACAAGTAATTCTGGGACAATTCTGCTCCCTGCTCGCGTCTGACCTTGGGGCCACTGGGGAGACAACGGTCTCCTTCCACCTCCTGCAGCGGCAGTATTGCCGCCATCCGTCACCCCCACCCTGAGGTGTGAACAGGGAGCCAGAGCCCCAGCCCCACACTCACTCACACATGGAAATGCATGCCTGCCCAAGGCCCCCCGGATGCCGCCTGCCTGCCCACCCACACGTCAGACCCAGGGTCCCACATGCCCTGCATGGGGGGTCAGGGGGATCCACCCCAGGGGAGTTGCTACTGGTTTTTCACCCCTGGACTGGGGCTCTGGGTCCCTTCCCTGCTGAGCCTTTGGGAGGGCTGGAGTCGCCCACCCAACAGACAACAGACCCCCTTGCCCCTGGTGGACTGGGGGGCTGATCCCGTCTTCTGTCTGCCCTGCTCTGGCCTGGGAAGCAGGGTTCCTCCCCAGGCACTCCGGGGGGCATAGGAGGGGCCTCCCATCGGCAGCTTTGCCTGAGGGGGTTGCTGATAGCCTCCCTGGGGGCCCTTGGGCACGGCTTACCCCGGACCACGTTGCCTGGGTACAAGCAGCGTGACTTCTGGCTCCAGTAGGCACAGACCCTTGTCCCAGGCGGCAGGTACCGGCTGGACTGGGGCCGGACATCGAGCACCTGTGGGAAAGGGGTGGGCGGCTGCCTGTGCGTGGGCAGGACCGGGCGAGGGGCACTGGGAAGGGCTGGGTGCAGCCAGGCCCACCTCCCCGGGGCAGCGGGCCTGGGGGCCGCCCCTCACCGCCTCCTGCAGCAGCTGTTCCAGCGAGTAGATCCTCTGCCGGTTGCCCCTCTCTCCCTCAATGACGATGCTGTAGCTGAGGGGTGGGGGTGGGCAGCGGGTGAGGGGCCTGCGGTCCCCCACCCCCTGCCCACGACCCTCCCTGCCCACACCTGGACCTCACATGTCGGGGGGCTGAAGGGTCCTGACGCTGCCCGCGTACAGCAGCCTGTCCTCCTTGGGGACCAGCACAGGCAGCCCATCCTGCAGGTCCTCCTTGTGGATGGCGCATGAGCGTGCTGGGGGGACAGGGCCGTCACCGCCCGGCCCTGCCCGCCGCCTCCCGGATGCTGGCCGCCCCCTCCCGGATGCTCACCCAGGGCGGCGCTCTGCTCCGCGCTCAGGGGGCCCCCGGCCTGCTCCTCCTCGTCCTCGAAGCTGCTGCTGTCATCAAACTCGAAGTGGTCCTCTACCGCGAAGCTCTCCAGGAGACGACTGACCGCCCGGCCCTTGCCCTGAGGGCCCACAGGGGTCAGCTCTCGCAGGAGGGGGAGGGAGAGGGCTGGGCCCTGGCAGCATGCCCGGGGGCGGGGACACTACCTGCTGGCTGGCAGCCTTGCGCTTCACCTTGCTCACCTTCCTGCCCTCCCCCAGGATGGCCTTGGCATTGCGGGGTGACAGAGCGATGGACAGGGCCCCGTTCTTCCGCTGTTGGGGGCAGGTTGGAGGGACAGGGGTGAGGGTGGTATCACCTCCCTGCCCACAGCCGGCTCAGGGTGTGGCTCAGGCCGGCCTGGGCAGGGGGCACAGGGCAGGGCAAGGGTGGCGCGAGGGTCCCTGCAGGCCTTCTGGATCTGCCCCCACCCCTGCTGGGCTCAGGACCCTCAGGTGCCCACCCAGATGCCCGCCAGCCTCACCCGCAGTCCTGGCGGGAGCGCGGTGCTCTTGCGGGTGGCTCTCTTGAGGCGCTCGCTGGCCAGCTTGCTGCTCCCCTCCCGGCAGGTGAAGGCCCGGGTGGGGCTGAAGAGGGTGTCCCGGCTGGGAGTGGCCCCTGGCTCTGCCCGTAGGCTGCCTCTGGCCCTGCCCACGGCGGTCCTCCTGCCTGGGGGCCCGCGCCCCGGGGCCCGCCGCGGCTTGGAGCTCCCCGTGGCCCTCACCGTCCGCCTCTTGATCTTGACGCCACTCTCTGGGCTGGACAGGCGGCAGGCCCCTGCGTGCGGGGGGGCGTCACAGGGGCCCTGGCCCCCAGCAGGCCGGCCCCAGCCCGTCCCAGCCTCCGGGTCACCTGGCAAGCTCTGCCTCTCTTTCTTCTTCTTGGCCTTCTGGTTGGCCTCCATCTTGACCACGGAGGAGGGCGAGGGCCCCGGCACGGCCGAGCCGGCCCCCAAATGCAGCGCCGGCCCAGGTTCCTTGGGGGGCGCCTCTGTCCCCAGGAGGCCCTCGCTCTCACTGTCAGAGCCACTGCCTGGGGGGAGGCAGGGGTCCAGATGACTCAGCCTCGGAGCAGCACCATTTTGGGGTGAGGTCAGGGGGCTGAACCTCAGCATGCATGTGGACATGTTGGGGTGCTGAGTGAAGCCCCATCACGGTCACCCCAGGCTGCTCTGGGGCACAGGCACCTGGACCAGGTGTTCAGGTGACGGTGTTTGGACAGAGCTGGGAGGTGCCTCTCTCTGACATTTTGCCCGCCTTTCTAACGCCTTGGGCAGTGGGGTGCCGCTTTGCATGCTTGGGGCCCCCTCCCAGGGCAGCCCCAGCCCCTTCCTGCCAGACCACCTCCTGACTCCTCACCGCCCCCTCTGTTCTTCCTCAGGGAGGCCTGGCGGGCAGGGGCTGGTGGGGAGGAAGCGTCTGTTTTTCCAGGCTCCTGTTCCTGGACACATGTGTTTGCTGGGGGCCGGATAACTCCTCCAGGGCAGCCCGGCCGGACGCCGCAGGGAGGCAGGCCCGAGAGGCAGAAGGGCTATTTTTAGCCCCCTTCCCAGGATGTGTCCTGTGGCCCCTTTCCTCCCCTTGGCCCCTGACGTGGGGGTGGAGCACAGAGAGCCCCTGGGCTCTGCCCTGGGTGGGGTCTCCTTCCCCGGCCTGTGCCAGCAGGAGGTCCTCCTCGGGCCTGGCACACTCCATGTGCCCTGACTCAGCTCCGGTGGACGTCCCAGCCCCTGCTGGCTTTCTCCTGCAGCCCCTGGGTGACCGTGGCCCGCAGGCCCTGCTGTGGTGCTGGGACCATAGACTTGCCTGCTTCATGTGCTGTGGCCCCTACGGGCTGGGCCCTGGCATCACCAGCGGGCTGTCGGTGCCGGGCTACCCCAGAAACCTTGGTGTTCTTGGCCCGGGATAGCTTCTTCCGGAGGCGACCCCCTGGGGCGGTCTCTTTCCGCCTGAAGGGACTGAGGCCAGCGGGCAGCCCCTTGCTCTTGACCTTCGGCTTCAGCTGGGCCACCCTATGGGCCCCTGGGGATACCAGCTCTCCCCGGCTGCTGCTCTTCTTACACCGAACCTTTTCCTGCAAATAGGCAGAGAGCAGCTGCACCTCACCGGGCCCCACCTGGAGCCACAGCCCGGGGGCCTCCGGTCTACCCTCTGCCAATGCTCAACCGTCAAGGTCCCACTTCCCCAGGCCTCGCCCTCCACTGGAGCTTGTGCTTGTGCCCGCCTGTCCGCCACTCCACAGCCCCTGCCAGTCTGCCAATCCTACTAAGGCCGAGGAATGGGAGGCCAGGGCCCAGATGTCTGTTCATGTCCTGGGCGAGACCAGCCTCCTGCTCTGGGAGGGATGAGCAAAGTGACAACATGCCACGTCCCCCTCACCGTCCCTCCCAGGACCCTGAAATAGGGGTGGGGTGGGGGTGTCCTGCTGCAGGGAGGACTGGGGTGCTGGCACCCACAGGGGGACCCCACTACACCAAGGGTGCACCTGTCAACATGGATGGCATGGCCCTTGCACCTGAGACGTCTTTCTGTGACCCGTACTACGCATTCTTTCCTGTTCTTCTGCAGGTGGGCTGAGGGGTGACTGTCACGGGGCACAGCCAGCCCAGGGCACCACCAGCAGGTTCAGGGGATGGGGCTGCCTCCACGTCTACAAACGGCATCCTGCACCCGGAGACAGAGGGCGAGGTGGCCTGGGACTCACCACGGAGGCCGAGGCAGAGGCTGCGGTGGAGGCAGGCCGCAGGCCCGCGTAGATGCCCTTCTCCAGTCGGCGGTGCTTCCTCCCAGGCTCGTCACTGCCCCGAAGCTCAGCACACAGCAGGCTCAGGCTGGACCGCACTGCCCTGGGGGCACGGGGATGGGCATGGGCCACATGCAGCACACCTGGGCACCCCAGGCCTCGTCCCCTGACAGTCCCTGCAGTGGCAGCCAGGGCACCCTGGTGGGTCATGGGGCACAGCCGCATGGCCAGGAGGCCCCCTTTTCCCCCCGAGGGCTTTGCTTCTTTCTCTGGCCAAGACTGTGCTCCTGGGACAGGCTCCTAGGAGCCGCTGCAGGGCAGGGGGCCAGACCACCGCGGAACCCTTTGGCACCCACCTCCCAGCCAGCCTCTGCCCACGGGCTGGGGAGGGGAAGCTCAGTGTTCAAGAGCCAGGGCTCTGCGGCCGGCTGGCCGCTGTGTGGCAGGCCCTGGCCCTGGCCGCTCTACCTGAGAACGGCAGTGGTGAGCGCGGCGCCTCTGCAAGGCTGGGGCGGGTCACCGAGGACCCAGGTCTGGCCCTGCTGAGTACAGAGGCCAGCTGCCTCTGCCATCAGGGACAAAGGCGCTCTTGAAAGCATGATCTTCCCACCCTCTCTGCTGCTGCCAGGAGGAGGAGGATGAGGGCAGTGGCCTGAGAAACTCATGCCCAGCGACGCCCACTGCAGGCCCAGAGCCCTCGGAGCTTCTGTCCTCCACGTTCGATTCCAGGTCTGGAGGGAAGGGACCCTGCAGACCCTGCAGACCCTGCCCTCCGCCACCCCTCTCCGAGATGGAGCCCGGGAAGCCACTGGCACACACTCGTTTTCTCTGTGCCCCACAGGTGTGAGGTGGGGCTTGGCCACCTGTCTTTTTGCCAGACAGGGGCCGGGACTGCGCCTCGCACCTGCCTCTTTGTCCACTGCACGGCACGAATGAAATGAGCCTCAGACGGAGGTTGAGGGCCCTGGTTCTCTTTTACTTTCCCATGGAGAGGAGGCCGGGCCGGAAGTGCCCACAGCCATGGGCAGCTGCAGGGGGGCGGGGCCCCGCAGCAGGGAGGAGGCCGACACAGGGTGGGGCAGGAGGGCACCCATCCTTGGGAAGGGAGGGCCCTGGACTTGGTTTCCCCCCTGTCCTGAGGCTGCTGCCCTCAGTCAGGGCCTGTTCCTGGGGTCAGTGGAGAAAGTGGCCACAATGCAAGCACTAGAGTGGGCTGCTGGGGCCGGGGGTTGGTGCCAGGCAGGCAAGAGCAAAGGGCCCATGGCCAGCAGCCTCCACCGCGCTGGCTGCTTCTCAAAAGGAGTCCCCTGGAGCCCCCCGCGGGGTGACACCTGGGCAGGGGGAGGGCCAGCTCAGGGTGGCCCCCCAGCCATATGGCCCATCCTTGCAAGGCCCACGGGCGATGGACTCCCTCTCCCTGTAACCTTCTCTGCATTCGCTAATGTTTTGTGACATAAAGCCCTGAGATTAATTTTTTGCCTCTGTCTTAATTGAAGGAACCATTTAGTGCCGATTTAACTATTATTACCGAATCATCAGGATTGATGCAGTGCGCACACGCGCGCGCCAATCGTGTTTGGAGGAGCTGGGAGGATTTATGCAAACGGGCCTGCCGGGAGAGGCAATTTGTAGCCGAGAAGGACAATTATACCAGGCCCGGGAGTGAGCCAACGACTGCGAGGGGCGGGTAATGGATAATAACATTGCGCCGGCAGCCGTGCGCGGCATGGCAGCGTGACCAACGACTTTATACAGTGCAGATAAAGAGGCTCCTATGCAACGCCGCCTCGCGCTCGGGGGGCGGGGCCGGGGCCGGGGTGCGCGTGGGGGTGATGCCACCGCCCAGCCCGGCCAGGTGTGTGGAGCTGGTGTGGCCGTGTGCCAGGCCCCCTGTGGCTTCTGAGCAGAAAGGAGCCCAGGGCCAAGGGCTGACAGTGGGCAGAGAGAGGACGTCTGTGCTGGGCTCTGCTGCCAGACACACCCCAGGTCCAGCGTGCTGGGGAATGAGCTGGGTCTTCAGGAGGGGCTGTGAAGGGGTTGCCGGCAGCCCAGGAGCCCATGCCCAGGCCTCCAGGGCTCCCTGGGTCAGGCCCACCCCACTGCATGCCCTCCAGCCCGAGGTGGCCCATGCACATAGGACTCACTTGACTTGCTTGCTGTCGCCCCTGGGAAGCTGACCCCCAGGACGCAGGGCAGGCAGCAAGCTGGTGTGTTTGCGCTTCCTGGGCCTCCCGGGCCCCCGCCTTGCGGGGCTCCTCGCGCTCTCGTCTCTCCTGTGGGTGGCAGGAGGGGCAGTCAGAGGCTTACACCTGCCCACAGTGGCTCCCTAACAGGGGTCCAGCAAAGGGCACAGCCTTTGTGGATGGTGGGGGACAGGTTCTCTCAAGACTTGGCCCGGGGAGCCTGGCCCTCAAGGATCAGAGGGAGGGCAGGCCCAGGCCCCTCCCCGCTGCCCCCACCATCCCCGCCTCCTGGCTCCAGCTGTCCTGCACGCACAGGTCAGGTTAGCTCCCGTGAGCTCCCGCCGGCTGCCGTACCTGCAGGGGCTCCCTCCTGGCCTCCCAGCCCAGCCTCACCCCTCACGCTGCCATCCTCACCCACGCCCTGCCCACCTGGCTCTCCCATCAGCATCACCCCCACCCCACTTGGTTTCTCTGCTGGGTGAACACCTCAACCTTGTGCTGCTTCTGGGGACCCTCCTGGACCCCAGCTTCCAACCCAGTCCAGTCCAGCCCAGTCCAGCTTGGCGGCTCCTTTGCATGAGGGAGTAGCCCTGGCCTGTGTGGAGCCGCCAGCTGCGTGCCTGAACCTGGGGGTCCCCCGTTGCCCTCCCCCAGGCTGGGGCATACTCGCGGTCGTGCCTGCGCTGCAGGCGGGCCAGCTCCCGTTGCTTTTCCTTGTAGCGCCGCTGCAGCTCTGCCAGCTGCACACGCAACTCTACCTCCTGCGTGTCCAGCTGGTCAATGGCGGCCTTCAGTGGGCACACCTGGTGGGCAGGAGCACAGGGGCCTGTGAGCCTGGCCAGGGCCTCTCGGAGGGGCAGGGGATGGGTAGTCAGCCTGGGTGCTCAGGGGTCCCCCTGGGTCATAGCACTGGGCAATGGGGGCACAGGGCCTGCCACTCACAGGCTTGATCTTGGGGGTCCAGCTGTCCTTGCGCTGCAGGATCTGCATGCGGGGGGTGAGCATGGGGACACTGCAGGGGTTGGCAGCAGGGGGTTGAGCTGAGGAGGCAGGGATGTCTAGGCCAGCAGCCTCCACCAGAGACCAGGCTGAGGCCAGGGTGGCCAGGCGCTGCAGGTTGAAGGCCAGCACATCTTCTTCTGTGGGGGACACGAGGGTCAGTGCATGTGGACGACAGGCACACACTGCCCCTCAAAGAAGTGCCTGACATAAACCTGCATCTCAGAACAGCCCAGAACCCCCAAGGCTCCCGAAGACATGAGGACCAAGGATGAGGATGAGGCGGCTGGAGCAGCAAGGTGCCATTGGGGCAGGCACCTGTCTCAGCTCCTGGTCCCCTGGCTGCTGCAGGCCAGGCCAGCTGGGATGGACAAGCCCTCCAGGCAGTGCCCAAACCACTTAACAAAGGCACATGGCTTGTCAGGCTTCCAATAGAAACTGCTTGTGTGCTTGCCTCTATTCTCACATCCATGAAAACAAGACCAGGGTGTCACAGCCCTAGTGGGATGGCGAGGGATGGCTCAGCAAGGGATCAGAGCTGAGCCAGGGAGGGCAGTATCCATCCAGGGGGAGACTTGGAGTGGACACTCCACACCCAAGTGCGACCACGGGGACAGGGTGGTGGCAGAGATGGGGGGTTGGGCATGCATGAGCAGGCTGAGCCTTCCACGAGTTACAGTGGGGGCCAGCAAGGAGGAGCCCTGTGGGGCTAGATGGGACCCGGGGCTGGCGGTATCAGGGGGCAGTGGGGATTTCCAGGACAGTCAGCTCTGTCTCCCGAGAGGGCCTGTGAGCAGCAACACCCCAGAGCTGATGAGCACACTTAACGCCCAGAACTTGGCTTCTAACACCATCCTCTGAGGAAAGGAACCCGGCTCCTCAGAGGAACAGGTGAGTCCAGGGACGAGGGAGGCATAGGGGGAGCGAGGAAGCGCTCAGAGGATGACAGGGACATCAGTGCATGCTTGGGCCGGCTGAGGGGGCCAAGCCTGAGCCAATTCCACCATCAAAAATTAAACAGCAGCGGTGACAAATTATAACCGATTGAAGAGAATGAGAATCCACAAGTCACACTGATAGAAACAAAAGTGTGAGGGAGTGCCGAAGAGGAACGGGATATTCTCCCATTTCACAGCACCTCCCTGTGGAACGCTTGATGACTTCAGAGGGAAAAGTGTCTGGCTGCCACCACCGTGAAGGAGCCGCCAGGAGAAACCACCCTCAGTATGGCACAAAGCAGAGCTGGTGCCAGAAACGCAAATATCTGGATGCCAGTTCTGGGCCAAGGCCGCCAGAGGCCCTCAGCCCCAAGGTGGGCTCCTGGGTCAGCAGTGCCTGGGGACTGGCGGCACAGGGTGGGTGGCTTTCTCTTCCCAGGGAGCCAAGCAGCTCCTCCACCAGGGCTGTCTGCAAGTCCCATTTCAGCTAAGAGCTCTGTAGGGTCTCCTGGATCTTGGAGTCACTGGGATCACCAGGAAGCCTCTCTGCTCCTGCCCCCACCCACTCCTCAGGATACGCCTGTGGAGGCTCTGCAGTCCATGAGTCTGGGGCAGTGGTTGGTCTGGGGAGATGGGGCAACACCCTTCATGACCCTCTAGTTCTGGGGCCTGTGAGAGGGAGAGACAGTAACTGCCCCACCCCCCACCTCAGGGGGATGCCTACAGTCCCTGTATCCAGGCATGGGGCTAGGCTGCCCAGGCAGGCAGTGGGTTCTGCAGACAGATGACAGTGGGGGCCAGGGCCTCTCCACCACAGCCCTGCCAGGCAAGGTGCGGAGTTGGGGGGCAGGGAGATGGCAGTTCAAAATGGGGGTGGTCTGGGGATAGGCTGGGATCTTGGCCCATCACCTGGTTTCAGGCTCACTGGGGAAAGAAGGGGCATCCATGCTCCAGGGGGAACAGGGTCTGGGCCTCCCAAAATTTTGGGGTTCATGGGAGGCCCAGTGGACACTACTACACCTCCGGGCAAGCCCCTCTGAATGCAGCACGGGGCATTCTGGGCTCAGGGCTGGGCCACTGCAAGCAGGCCCCACCATCCAAGGCCAGACAAAAGAAACGTCTGGCTACCTGCCCCCATCCCTGCAGCGTTTGGCCTGAGGCCAAGTCCCTGTGTCCAGGTCAGAGGTCTGGGGGTCAGGCAACCTGCCTGCTAAGCTCCCTAGACTTGAGCCCAGTGGCGGCAAACCAAGGGACCTGAGGCTGAGGCCTGCTGGAGGGGGCTGTGTGCCCAGGTCAGCAAGGGTGAGGCTGGGGCTCAAGCCCCACCTGGCTGTGGGACCCAGGGGCCATGTCGGCTTCCTGAACCTGGTCATCTCCTCACCTCCATATCTTGAGGGCCCATCCAGACTCCCAGCCGTCACTCTGCCTGGCCTTAGGGGGCCTCCGGGGGACCCTCTGAGATCTCTGCCCTCTCAGCCCCTGCTTCCCACAAGGCTCCCGCTCTGCTCTTTGTGATTTGCTGCAAGAATGGGCTGATGTCCTAGTAACTTCAGGAAAAGTGCCCACTGTGCTTACAGGGAACTGCTCTGGACCTGAGCGAAGAAGGCACACCTGCACCAACGAACCGGGGCAGAAGAGGGGTGAGGCCCCATGGGTGGCAGGGGGCAGTGGAGACCAGGCCATGCAGCTTGCATGGCCGATATACCCTGGTGCTGGCAGCGCCTAGCCGGCTGGAAGCTGCAACAGCCACACTGGGGCACACGTGGTGCACACGTGAGCCTTCACTCAGCAAGCGGGCACTGGGCCAGCAGGCACGCCCATGCACAGACTGGGTGGCCACACACACGGAGCCTGACATCCGCTCTACGCACTCCCACCAGCCACACGCACACAGGGCCTGCCCAGGCACCCCTGCCTCACCCTGCAGCCCCAAGCCCCAGTGGCATCCCGGTGGGCGCCTGCCTGCAAGGGCTCCCTGGCTACTCCCCTCGGCACAGTGGATGGGGCCCCCTCCAGGAGAGCAGTGACAGAGGCCTTTGGGAAAATTCAAGAGCATTCACTTTATCTCCAAGCAGCACAAAAGGCAGCCGGCAGTGAGGGCTTACACGTCAGGAGAACAAGCAGGACGTCCTGAGGACTTGGTGGGGTTCCTTCTATCAACATCAGTGCGGCACAATGCCAGGCGGGAGGTGCTCCCCGGGGGGGGCGCTTCCCCGGGGACCCCAGGGCCACTGCTCTGGGAGGGAGGAGGGGCTTCTCTTAGCGGAGTGCCTGGGCAGCAAGGAGGGCCAGAGTGGGGTCCTGGGTGCTTGGCAGAGGGCTAGAGCTGCCTAGCAGGGACGTGGCCCTTGGGTCTGGTCCCTTGTCTCGCTGCAGGGCATGCCCTGTGCCTGAATGCTGGGCCCTGGGGGTGCGGGAAGAAGGGCATCTCCTCCTGCAGCAGCGCCAAAGCATAAACTGCTGGCATCCCAGCCTCCAGGCCTGGTGAGGCTGTGGGGGACATGGAGGTCCTGAGGTGGGACCATCTGATCAGTCTTGTGCCATCTCCTCTGGTGAGAGGTAAGGGCCAAAGCACCCTGAGCCAAGCCCAGGCAGCCCAGGGCCAGGAGCATGGAGCCTGAGGTGGTGGGAAGCTGGGTGAGAAGCCCGTGGGCGGAAACACAATCCACGCTGCGATGCCTGCCCACCACCCAGCCCCCATGGGCCTCATGCCCTCCTGCATGACACGGGCTGACCAGGGCCAACTGTGACCTCCTCTGGGCACTGTGAGCGTCTTCAGCAACAGGAGGGGCTGCCCAAGAGGCCCCTCCTCTGAGACCACCCTCAGGGCACAGTCCTGGCCTCAAGGGCCCTAACCCTGGGGACCCACCAGCAGCCAGGGCTTACAGAGACATGGCACAGAGGGCCAGTGGGCAGAGGGGCAAACGCGGGACCATGCTGTGGGGCCAGCTGAGCTGCAGGCTGTGATCCGGACAGCTGGCCCTGACCCGTGCCTGGGGGGCCGGCTCCAGGGGCCCGGAGGCCTCTCAGGGGGCAGCGCTCACCTCGCAGAGCAGGCTCAGGCTGCAGCTGGCTCTCCAGGTCGGCTAGCTCGCTGAGCAGGGCGATGCCATGAGTTCCTGAGCTATGGGGCAGGAGGGCAGTGCTGGGGGGTCCAGCGGGGGCAGGGGGCTGAGGGTCCAGGGGGATGATGCCAGGCAGGTCCCCCAAGTCGATGGTGGCTGCCACCAGGGCGTCCAAGCCTGGCAGCGTCCTGTGCAGGTAGATGTTCGGGGCCAATCCCCAGTCGCCCTCTGTGTCCTCTTCCAGGCCGTCATCTTCGAACTCGGCCTCCTCCTCCAGCTCTGCCTCCCCAGGGACCTGCTGCTGGCCCCGCTCAGCCCTATTTAGGGCCCCTGGGCTCCTTGCCGGCTGCCCCAGGGCCTGGGGCCCAGCCCCCAGCAAGGGCCCGTGCTCTGCCCCTTCCCTGCCCTCCACCGGGGTCCTCTCCTCTCCAGCCCCTCCCTGAGTAGAACTAGCCCAGCCAGGGGCTTCGGGGTCCCCTCCCTCAAGGAGGGCCCCACATTGCAGTTCTCCCAGCCCCTCCAGCGGGCTGGGGTCTGCTGCCTTCCCCGGGGCTCCCTGCTCGGCAGGGTGGGAGGTGTTGGCAAGGTCCTGGGTGGCCTCCCCAGCCGCTGAGGGCAGGCCAGTCTCCTGCTGGCTCTGGAGGCTGCGCGGGGGTGGCTCCCCGGGCAGGAACGTCCTCCCCTGCTCAGGCTGAGCCCCAGGGGCAGCAGCTTGCATAGTTTTGGGGTTCGAGAGGTCAGCTGAGTGCATGTTGCGGGACAGGGCGAAGCCAGAGCCGGCTGCAGGGCAGGAGTATCCGGGAGGCCAGTCTGTGAAAGAGGGGCACTGTCAGGAGAGCAGCCTGGGCACAGGTGGCCCCATCACAGACGGCGAGAGACCCATGCCCAGGAGGAGGCCCAGCCCGCCCTCCGCCCTCGGAACGTGTGAGGCGAGAGCAGGGGCAGTGGGAACCCAGGGGCTAGCTGAGGACCCTTGCCCTGGCTCCCATAACAGTCTTGGGGGCCCCAGCGGCCATCCCTGCCATGGTGTGGTGTGGCTGACCAGAAAAGGAGGGGTTTTAAAACAAGATTCTGGAATCAGGGCTTTCCCTGAACCAGAGCGAGCCGACAGCCTGTCGGAGGCATTACGCTCCATTAACTGCAATAAAAAAAAAAAAAAAGAAAAAGAAAAGAAAAAAAGTCCTGAAAAAAAAAACCTCTGCTGGCTTGGTTTCCTTACTGTGGAACTGGGGCGGGTTTTATGTTTGTTGCGCGGGTTTCCAGTGTAAACTCTCAGCCTAATTCCGAGAGAATCAAATAGCTGTCGGGCAGCTGGCCATGGAGGGCGGGTTGCAGAGGCCTTGGCGGGGCCAGGACCCTCCACGTGGGCCCCAAGCAGGTGGCACCTCCGGCCCTCGTTCAGCTTTGCCAGGACCCAGACTTGCAGCTGGGGACGGGTCCTGCCACCACCCTCAGCAGGCCAGACACTTCATCATTCACGGCGACGGCCAGGGCTGGCCGCGGGGCCTGACCCTCTTCCTGCCCATTGGCCAGGGGCTGGTCTGGAGGGACCCTGAGCTCTCCCCCAATGGGTCACCAGGAAGGGCAATGGAGACCTGGGGCCTGCCAGGGGCTGGGTAGCCCAGGGTACCCTTGAAGGTGCCAAGCCAGGCAGCCCCCAACTCAACTCTGCCCTGACATGCGGTGAGCAGGAGAAAGGCCTCGGGGGGTGGGGGCAGCCAAGGCCAGGGCCGCGCTCCTGCTCTCACCTGGTTCCGATGGGTTGAGGTCGGCTCCAGGCCGCCGGCCCTCTCCACGCTTGTCCTTGGTGGTGGGCAGCTTGGAGCCTGGCCCCGGGCTGCCCACAGGGCAGACAGATAAAGTGCACGGGGCTCGGGGACGTGGCGGTGGTGTGGGGCAGCTGGCAGGGGGCTTTGGGGTGGGTGAGTGGCAGCAGGGTGACAGCGTGGCAGGGCCTGCGGTGGGGGCTGAAGGGGTGCCCCTCGCCATGGGGGTTAAGGCAACTGGCTTGTGGGCGGACTTCGCAGTCGTCTCCTGGGTCGGCTCCTCCAGTTCCAGGTGGTGGTCCTCTGGCTTCCGCTGTGGGGGGAGAAGCTGAGCTGGCTTGGCTCCCCTGCTTGGGCATCACTGCTGGCACTGGCTGTGCAGTGGGGATGCCTAGGCCCAGCCAGGTCAGGTGTGGGCAGAGGGAGCAAGTGGCACCCCGGGTCCCAGCTAGGGGTGGCAGCAGGGTGGGTACCTGGAACTGGGTGGTGCGCTGCAGCTCCAGGGCCTGGGCAGTTCGCGGCTGCTTGTGCTGCAGAGAGTACAGCTCCTGCTGGCGCAGCAGCTGGGACCGCGAGTAGACAGGGAGCTGCCCCGGGTGCTGCATGTGTGGGGCAGGGCCCCGGCCCCCATACATGGGGGGCCACAGCGAGGCCTGGTCCATGACATCAGCTGTGTGCAGGGGCCGGGGAGCCGTCAGCCCCAGGGGAGGACAGGGTGCGTGGCTGCATCCTTAGCCTCCTGTGCCGGCCCCCTCCCCCACTCACCTCCAGCTCCATCCACCTCACACCTGCCTCCCGAGCCCCAGCCAGGTGCTGGCCTCACCGCCCTCACGCTGACCCCCACCCCCACCCGACAGCTTGCTTCCTCAGACCTGCTTCTGACAGCCCCACATGCAAACAGCCTAGCCTGGGAGCCCCCTTACCGAGAGCATGGGGGGCAGTGTGAGGCGAGGGCTCCGAGGGCAGGATGACCAGCTGTGCAGGGCTGTCCTGGGGGAGGGGGAAGACGGAGGGCATGGAGCCGGGCACGGAGGTGGGGAAGCCGGGGGGCAGGTTCTGGTGCAGGGCGGGGTGCCCAAGGCCTGGGGAGACAGGGCACAGTGGTCAGGAATTTTTGGGCAAGGAGCAGAGACCCCAGACTGGCCAGGATCCAAGCCAGTCTCAAGCCTCCCACGCCAGGCTAAGGGCCAGTCCGCCCCAGGCCAGCCCCCTCACCAAGCCCAGACAGAACTTTTGCCCTGCGAGGGCCAGCTGGCTGACCCTCAGCCCCCTGCCCCCACCTGCCCTGGAGCACTGACCGTAGGAATGTCCTCCCATCCACAGGGAGGGGCTGCGGGTACGCGGCAGCCAAGGAGGGTGGGCAGGATGGGGGTGGGAGGCCGGGTCCCCACCCAGCTGGCTGCCCTGCAGGGAAGAGCCTCCAGCAATCATGAGGTGAGGGGCCAGGTCTCCTGGGCAGCCACTCGGTGGGTGCATCCGGGTGAACTCCACAAGGTCCTTGTTGTCCCTGTACATCATGGGTGGGAGGTGGAAGTGGGAGGGGGGTGGGCGAGGGCTCACCTGACTCCTCAACCCTATCTCGTGGCCATCAACCTCAGAGGGAGGGGGCTTGGAGGGTCATGGGGAGACCCCAGGCTCAGGCATCGGCAGTGGGGGCAGTTGGCAGACAGGCGGGAGCCCAGAAAGGCCTGGGGATGGGGTGCACAGCCCTGCCTAAGGCCGGTGCAGAACCTGACACTCTGGCCCTGGTATCCCGCAGGCCAAGCCCTCAGGCCTGGCCTGGCCCCGCGCGCGGAGGTCCTGTGTCCGTACTGCAGCAGCAGCTCCCGGCCAGCGAGCCCCAGGCGGTCCTCACACAGGCGCGCCCTGTCCTCCTCGGCCTCCAGCTCCAGCGCGGGGGTGGGGCGGGGTCCGCCGCCAGCTGCACGGGTGGGAGATGGCAGAAGGGAAGAGGGCTGGGGCAGGCGGGGAGCCCACAGCTGTAGCAAGCAGGGACCCCACTTTCAACCAAATGGGGCTGATGAGCGGAGGAAGGGTCTCCTGCCCTGCGGGCCTCAGGGAGCTTGCCCGGGGTGGGTATGGAGAGCGGGTGGGCTCTGGGGGCAGGGGTGGGGCAGGCCAGGTAGATGAGGGCAGGTCAGCAACCCCTATCTCCCTCCCTGCAAAGGGCCTACCTTTGAAGGTGGGGGCTGCCCGGCCCTGCCGCCCAGTGTTGGAGCTGTAGGTCATCTCTGGCCGGCTCGCCGTGTCCTTCTGCCGGGCCAGGGCCACTGCAATGCCCACAGGTGGCTGCCGCACCTCTCCGTCGCTGTGTGGGGCATCGTGCTCCCGGTTTCGGGCACAATCAGGCCTCTCTACCTCACTGGGGGCCTGGCCTGGGCCCTTGGAAGCTGGGAACTTCATGTCCTGCTGGGCACAGCTGGCCTTCAGACCGCCCAGGCCCATGAAGGGAGCCTTCTGGCCGACCACCAGCGCCTGGTTGCTGTACTTGAGCAGGTTTTTCATGGCCGACACCTCATCAGGTGGGGCAGGCAGGTCCTGGGACAGAAGGGCAGCCTGCTGTAGGCCGCTGCTGAAGGGGTCCAGGTAGGCGCTGCCCTTGCGCTCCTCGCCAATGGCCATGGTGGTGCCCTGGCCTGACTGGATGCTCCATGGGGGCAGATGGGGCCCGCCGTAGCCAAGAGATGCCAGTTCCAGGGATTTGCGCTTGGCCTCGGTCCCGCTACCCCCGGGGTCCCCCTCTGGAGCCACCAAGTGCTGCTCATGCCGAATCCGGGCCACTTTCTGGGCTCCTGGGGGGCCCATGGGGACCTCCTTGCTGGCAGCCTTATCTAAAGTGCAGCAGGCCTGGGTGACCTTTCCACCCAGTGGATCCTGGTGACTTGGCCGGGCACAGTCCTGTGTGGGCAACTCAAAGTAGCTGCTTTTGTCCAGACCACCTTTGGGGAGCCTGGGGAAGGGGCCCTCAGGGCCTGCACTGCTGAGATACTCCAGGCCCTTTAGCCGAGGGTTGAGGGCGGTCTCAAAGCCCCCAGGTCGCCGTTCGCCCTTGCCCTCGGCCTTCAGGTGGGCATAGGAGACCCCATAAGGTGCGGCATGGTCAGGGGCTGTGGCCCCATCGAGGTGTCGGTCTTTGCTCTCACCCACCACAGCACAGGCCTCAGCTGCTTGGAAGGGGCGGCTCTTGTCAGCAAGGTGGCCCACGGAAGGCACAAAGGTGGACCCGCTGGCCTTCAGGTCCCGGGGGACTTTGTCCTGCAGTGGGCAGAGCCCATCGGGGCCTGCGTGCAGCTGCAGGCAGGGGAAGGAGCCGGCGGCTGTGCTGAGGGGTGGAGGGGGCCCAGCAGGCAGGCCAGACGGCACCGTGTAGGACACGGTGTGGTGCAACATCTGCCGCCGCTCCAGGCACTCGCTGAAGGCCGGCCCGGGCTCTGCGGGGCCCTCTGCCTCCTTGGGGCAGCGTCCGGAGGCTGCGACACCCATGCCGGGCCGCACCAGCACGCCTCCCGCGCAGCTGGCCAGTGCGGCCTGGCCCACCTCTCCGCCGAGCACCTTGGTGTTGAGGAGGCAGGAGGCGAGGTGCTTGGGGCGGCCCTCGTAGGTGCCCCGGGGTGCAGCGCCGCCTTCCTTGCAGTGGCTGTCCCCCAGCATGGGCAGCACCAGCTTGTGCCGCTCCTTGCCGCCATCCTCTTCCGCCACCGCCCGCTCCTTGCCCTCTGCCACCTTGCCTGCCTTCTCTCTGCCCAGCTCTTTGCCCATGAGAAAGCGGTCAAACTCCTTGGTACCCTTCTGCAGGGGCCCGGCCTCACCCCGGTCACGGCTACAAGAGCCGATGGGGTGGCTGGGGGCAGCCCGGGCCATGCTGGGGAAGCTGTGGTTGGTGGGCAGGAGCGTGGGCTGGGGAGGCAGGTTGCGCAGGTAGAAGTTATCTGCATGTGGAGAGAAACAAGGTCAACAGGAAAAGCTGGGGCAGAGGCTGGAGAGCTCAGACTCCCAGGACACTCGCTCCAGGGGCCTCCCCATGGCCAGCTGGCAAAGGCCCAAGGTTACTGCCTGAGGAAGGCTGTAAAGGACACATTATGTAAAGTTTACCACTTTCACCATTTTGTGCATGCAGCTCAGCGGCATTAAGAATATTAGCATGGTTGCCCCACCACCATCCACCCCCAGGACTTTCTCGTAGTCCCAAGCTGAGGCTCTGTCCCCTTAGTTAAATGCTAAGCCTCCGCCCCTGCAAGGTCCTGACTTGTGTTCAGCCCTCCAGGAGATGGGAGCTGCACATGGCCCCACCCCGCACCCAGCCCAGGGCCCACCCATGTGGATGAGTTGGCGGCGAAGACTGGAGGGCCAGGAAGGTCTGGGTAACAGGCATCTGCACAATACTGGTGACTGGCCAGGTCTTTACAAACAGCCATCAGAACCTAAATGCTGAGGGGGCCGCTGGCCCACTGCTGGGGGCTGGCTAAGTGCACAGTGGCCCCTGTGGCCTGTGGTGTGATAAGGCCACTACACAGATTCCTGTGCCAGGGTGTCTAAGTGAGCCTGCTGCAAGCACGACCATCCCTGGGGATGGCTAAGTGCCTGGCTCTCATTACCCCCTGGAGGTGGCTACGTGCTAAGACCCCCAGGAGGAAGTGAGGCCCAGGGCATGGGCTGGGTGTGAAGGACCCGGCTTGTCTACCTCCTGAACCCCCAGGGAGGCCCCCAGCTGCTCTGCCACCTAAGTGTGGATGCATCGTAAGGACGGGGTTGTGGGGGGTGGAGGGCTTGCCTGATCATTTAAAGAGGAGAGGAAGGAAAATGGCTCTTGCGGGCTGTCCCTACCAGCCCACTGTCAGCTTTTAACGTCCCTGCAGCTCTGGGCCCGCCCAGCCTCATGGGCGCACCAGCTCCCCACCCTGGGTCCAGGCCTGCCGTCCAGCCTGGGCCCTCAGCCAAGGCCAAACCCTTCCTGCCAAGGCCTTGCTCTCCACATGGGTCCCCAGCCCACCTGAGAGACCCCCACTGCTCCTCAGGCTGGGCCCAGGTCACCACCTCCGGGGTCCCTGGGAGCCACAGCCGTCTACACGCAGCTGGGGGCGGACAGGCAGTGTGGGTAGCCTGGAGCCCAGGGAGAAGACCAGAGGAGACGAAAAGCATTCGGAACCTGTAAAACTGTCCTCCACTGCGTGAATTCTTTGTCAATTTCCTGCCAATTAAAGCAGGGAGGGCAGCAGCCTGGGCAAAACCTAGTTAGCTCGACCTCCAAAACCGAGGTGCTCTTGGACGGGGCTCCACCAAACACTGACCACCGAGCGGCCGCCACTGGTTGGGTTCCTGCAGTGGGACCGCCAGCCCACCCTGATGGACGCCATCAAAATCACTGCTCCTGCCGAGGCTGACCGCGGTTCGGGGGACCCAGCCGTGGCTGGTCAGGGACTGTGCCCAGAGCAGCAAGCACCCGGCCTGGCCTCACCCCCAGGAGACTGTTTCCCGGCAGCATGCAGCGTCTGCCCGCCCCTGGGGTGGGGGGGCGGGGAGCTTTCCAGGCCCCGCGCTCAGGTGGGGTCTTGCTCCCACCCGTCCCCGCTGGCCGCCCGGGGCTGGGCCAAGGCCTTCCGTAGCCTCAGTCGCCCTGCCAGGCCCAAAGGAGCAAAACGGGCTCCAGGACCAGGACACGCTGAGGTCCAGCAGTGGGAGGCTGGTGGGGAAAGCGGCTGGGCAACTGCAGGGTGGAGGGCAGGAGGCCTGGTCGCAGGCACCCTCCAGGACAGTCAGATCGGCCCCCTCGTGGGGCCCCCTTCCTTCCCTGAGGCCTCTTCAGGACGCTCTTCACCCGCCACCTCCTGAAGCCCCAGTCTCGCGGCTTCCTGCTCCCCCACTGCCCCCGAGGACATCTGTCCTCGTCCACCCTCCCCACCAGGACGGCCCCTCTCCTTGGTTGGGGTTGGCCTCCCAGCCTCCAGAGCCCCACCAGGTGTGCATGGCTGCCTCATTGACACTCCTAGGACAGCCCCTCTGGTACCTCTGTGCAAAAACTGACAGCTCCCTCACCTTCAGAGGGCTCCCCCAACAGCCAGGGCTGTGAATGGGGGTTACTGAAGACCCCCTGGCCCTCATGCCCTGTTCAGGCCCTCCATTGGACCCCAGGCCCTGGTTCAAGTCTATGGCACTTGTCATTTGAAAATGGTTCCTAACCCGACAGCCTCTGGGCCCCCGAGGCCCCAAGGTCCCTGGCGCAGCCAGGGAGATCTTTCCCAGAGGCACGGGAGGCATCAGCCCACCCAGGACAAGCCCTAGGGACGGCACCGCACTTGCCCCACCTCCAGGAGGCCGCCTCTCCCACGGGCTCCTGGTGGGCTCCCTCCAGGCCAGGCCTTTGCACATATGTGTGTGCCGTCCCCGCAGCTCTGCCTTATCAGCAAAGCCCCAGCCTCAGCGTCCCTCTCCAGAAGTGCTCCACAAGGACCCCTCCTGCCAGTGGGGTGGAGCCTGTCCTCTGTCTGAGGGCATCATTGTCCCAGCACCTCCCAACCCCAAGACTCTGAGCACAGGCCGGGCTGTGGGGTGGCAGCCTGGGCCTTGTGCCACTCAGTGAGGCCGGGGTGCAGACTTCCAGGGGTTCCCTGCCCCCACACAGTGGCATGCTCCCTGAGCTGCTCTGGGACCCCCGAGCTGCCAGGGCGGGGGCGGGTACAGGTGCCTAGGGAGCTGGGCGCCATGCCCTCAGGGCTGCAGCTGTCAGGGATGCTGCCATGTGAGACACAAGAGCTCCAGACAACACAGCTGTGCTCGGAGCGCTCGCCCCGCATACACCCTGCCACTAGGCGGCGGTCTGGAGACCCTCCAGAGGCCTGAGAGGCAGGCCCACTCTCCGCCAGGCCTGAGACCTAGAGGGGAGGGCTTGCCCCGGCTGGCGGACTTTGCCTGAAGTCCCAGGAGCCCCAGCCCCTCTGCCCTGGCCCCCATGCCTCCGGTGGGCCCTCGAAGCCCCACACCAGCACTTGCCTTTTTGGGTTCCATAGAAACGATGTTGCCCATAGAGAACGTTGCCGTTTCCATGGTGATCCAAGTGGCTCATGGGTAGGAAGGTGGATGCCAGACTCCCCGAAAATCTGGGGTACCCTGGAGCTAGAGAAGCAAGAATTGTCTGCAGAGGTGCCTCCGGGACCTCTAGCCCACATCCACCCTGAGCCCAGGGAGGCGAGTTGCTGGTGGGTAGCTCAGGAGCGATGCCCTGCAGAGCCTGGCATGTAGCCCACCAGGGGGAAATCAGCCCATCAATACACCATATTAACTCCGACTCGACTAATACCGTCCCTCTGGTGCAGCACAAACTGCTGACGGGCTGGGAGAGGGGGTGTGGGGGCCAGAGCCTCTGCTGCCTCTCCCAGCAGCACAGCGGTTGGACCACAGGGGCTCCAGAGAGGTGGCTGGGGGGACAGGCTCAGGCACAAGCGGCGGACGTGGGCCCTGGCCGCACCGCACAGGCAGGGGTGCGCCGGCAGCACAGTGGGGCGCAGCAGGCTCCCACCTCGAGGCCGCAGGCTCAGGACCCCTGCTGGTGGCAGGGGCTCCTCTGCACTCTGGGGATGTGCAGAGGGAGCTGGCCCCCAGCCCAGTGACCCTCCCTGGCATCTCCCAGTCACGCTACGCAGGCCCAGTTCTGTGCCCCTGAGGGCCCCAGACTCTTCCTGGCCTGGCCCTGCCCAGCACAGAGACACCAGCCACACCCTAGGGCTGGCCCCACCCATCTCCTTGGACTTCGGGGGCTCAGGCCACCTGAGACGCACACCCTGCCCCCTAAAAGGAATGAGGACAGACAGAACAAATCAAGGGCCCAGGAAGCCCACTCAGGTGCCAGCACCCCAGCCGGGTGCAGGAGGGGAGCAGTGTCTGCTGGATGCCCAGAGTTGTCAGCCACCTGGAGGGTGGCTTCTCCACCAGGCCCAACAGGGAGGGGCCGAGCCTGGCAGAGGGCCCCCAGCTGGGATGGGCAGGGCACTGTCTTCCTCCAAATACTTGTACTTTGAGCGAATGTTTTGAACACTTTCCTCCTGAGTAATGGGTCCCAGAGGAGTTTCTCCTGGGGACCCCATGACTGTCCCAGTGGCTTCCCATCCAGCTTCTGGGCTGCCCCGGCTGTGATGAGGGAGGAGCCCTGGGGCGTCCCCAGGAAGCAGTGGCCCTTGAGACAGGGAGGGGCATGTGCAGGTGGCCAGCGACGGCAGGCAGGCAGGCACAGGGCGTTAGAGGCTCCCCACAGCCACGCACGGCCCAGTGGAAGAGGGCCAGGAGGCACATGGCTGGCGAGCAGGGGCGCCAGCACCCTTCTCAGTGTCGCAAAGTCACCAGTAAGTCCTGAAGCAGAGTCCCATTCCATCTTGCTCATTGACTGTTTCCTAAACTCCTTAGGACAGAACCCCTGTGCGGTTTCAGTGTTCCTCCTGTGACAGCTCGCGGTGGGGCGCTCCATGGAACGCAGGCAGCGGGGCAGATGGGGCGGGCTCCAGGACGGACCTCCAGGCCTCCACACCCTCCGAGGACCTGGGGTGTTGGCCAGGGGCCTGAGGCTGGCCTTCCAGATGGTGAAGCTGTTGAGACGGGGGTGGAGTCTTGTGGGGCCTGGACTCTTATCTCTGGCCTGTGGGTGCATGGGGAACAGCAGGCTGGCGGCCAAGGGGCCGTGCGGGCGGGTGGGCCTGTGGAACCCAGCTCAGAGGTAAGCCTGGATAAGGAGCCCCAGGGTACAGCTCAGTGGGAGATGGTCAAGTGTCAAACAAGGCCCCCAGCCCAAACAGGGCACTGCACGCCCTGATCCCGGCAGGCCCCCTGCCAGCAGCAGGCCACCACTGTTCAGCCTCTCATGATGCAGCGTGACGTTCTCTGGCCCAGAGGAACACGCTCCCCCGTGCCCATGCAGAGCTCATCCCAGGTGCCATGAGCTGGAAGGGCAACACACACACCTGCCCCTCCAGAGGCTCATGATGAGCATGCACCGTCAGGCCCCCAGACTTCTCCCGCTTAGGGCCCACACCCCCGTCCGTCTCGGGACTCGGGGGAGGTGCCCAGGGCCACCCTGGCCCATCCGTCTGCAGCCGCCTCCTGCAGAGGACACGGGCTGAGTCCGGAGAGCCGGGCCACTTGGCCCAGTCTGTGTATGGAGACACATCTGGAGCAGACATTTCCTCTATTAAAGTCACTCCTGGCCGACTTGACAAAGGCTGTAGCTGGAGGGATGGGAACTGGCCGGGCGGGGCAGCGGCCTGTGTGTGTGGGGGGGGGAGTTAAACCCTGCAACTGTCCCCCCTTAACTGGCTGCTGTTAAATGTTTTACAGGGCCTCATTTTGGTAAACAGAAGTCTGTAAATTCCTCCTTCCCAGACACTGCTTCCCGGGCGTGGATCCCGTGACCCCTCTAGAGTCCTGGGCCTCCTGCCCACCAGCCCTGGTGTTGGGGGGCAGGCACTGAGCTGGCTGAGTGGTGCACTCCTTCCTGCCGGCGTCCTTTGGGGATGTGTCCCTCCACTTCTGACCCTGAGCTGGTGGCCATACAGGCCAGGGAGTGGGGGTGGAATCTACCAGGGACCGCCCATCTCCTGCCTGCCTGAGGCCCCATCCTCTGGGACCCCAGAGGGGAGCTGGGGATGGGAGGGAGGCGGGAGGGGCAGATGGGAAGATGGAAGAAGCAATGGAGGGGTGTGGGCGGTGGGTGGGGGTTCCTAGAAAAGTCCCTTTCTTTTCCTCCAACAAGACAGTACTTTGAATTGCAGAGGAAAATAAAAAATGATTTCTATGTTCTGAGACCAGAAGCCAGGGCTGCCGTGGAGGGGGTCCAGGGAGCAGGGGGTGTGTGGGCGCGGGAGCGGACATCAGAGCAGGGCTGGCTGCAGACCCCAGGCCAGGGGGGACTGGACACCCCAGAACCCAGGATGAGCGCTCCTTGACCCCACATGATCCAAGAGCCCCCTTCTCAGACCCTCAAAGCCTTTGAGGGATGACGGCTATTATCAGCCTAACCAACAGGTGGCAGGCCTGTAGGCAAGCCTCAGACCCGCTGCCCGTGGTGTCCCACTGCTCTGGGGCCCAGGAGGGACCCCGCGCCTCAGTGGGAGTCTTGCTGAGGCCGTCCCACCATCCTGTCCCTGCTGCTCGGAACCGCAGGAGGCGCCGCCCAATCCCATGATCCAAGTGACTGGGAGGCGGAGTCAAGGCCGTCAGCCCTGGGGGGTGGGTGGGTGGGGTGGGATGTGAAGTGCAAGTGGCTGCAGCCGTCCGTCCGTCCGGGGCAGCGCAGACCTGGTCTCTGGGCCCCTCCCAGCATCCCCCTGGGCCTCTGCTGGCCACTTCCAGGAAGGTCAGGGGCTGGCGGGAAGTATGTGGAGTCGGGGGCAGGAAGAGGGGTCAGCAGGCAGCCCAGCGGCAGGACCCGAAGGACAGAGCAGAAGGGAGGGGAGCAGGGGAAATGGACCAGGGGGTGCGGGCTCCTCCTGGCCCCCAGAGAAGGGGTGGGTGTCTGGAAGGCCCGGAGGCCTGCTGCAGGCCTTCCGCTGGAGAGGAAGGAGGGGTGGCTCTGCCAGGCACTCGGGGCCCTGGCACCCCCATACCCATCCTCCGCTCCAAGCAGGGTCACCTCAAAACCTGCTGCACAGCTTCTCGCCTCCCTGGGGTTTCATGGTAGCACTTTCCATGGCATCTGAGACCGTACCTGCTCCAGGCCAGACCCAGAACCTTCTCCCCTCACCAAGGCTGGGGAGGCAGGAACCTGCCCCCTGATCCTGCCCTTCCAGGGACCACCCCCTGCAGGGAGACTGGGGGCTGCTCTTGGGTCTCTCGGGAGGCTGGGTGTGGTGGGTGCGCCCTTGGCCAGGTGTGGGGCAGGGCTGCGTGGCCAGCCCACTGGAGGACCAGGATTCTTTGGGTGTTCAAGGGTCCTCCCACCATGGGGCCCCCCGGACTCCCACCCTAGGCCCACAGAGTTCAGCACAAAAGCAGCTTAATAAATTCTTCTGGGGGCAGCTTGGGGCTCTCGCCACCCCGGCCCACCAGCACCCTGCCCCAGTTCCACCCTAGCTGCCCCCACACCTGTGAGGGCAAGAGATTCTGAGACAGACACCCCAGCCCCCGGGCCACCTTGACAAATGGCACTGCCGCCTCCCTGGAGAGCGGCACCCACACCACACTGGTCCTGAAGCGCCAGTCGCTAGACGGTTCTCCCCACCCTGAGGCTCAAGCCGTGGCTGGGGGCCACCAGCAGGGACCGGGCATCAGGGCCCAAGAGCAGGTCCCCACAGCCCATCTGGCGGAGTTCCCTGGCAACTGGGGCTGCGAGTCTGTACTTCCACCCAGCCAGCAGCCACACCAGGCGGCACCCCAGGAACCGGGGCTGGGCCCTTGCAATGCTGGTCTGCCCGCTCAGAGGCCCCATGTCACCTGGGGCAGGCCTGCCTCTGGGGCTCAGCAGTGGGGAAAGCCTCCTTGGAGGGAGTCCTGGCAGACTCCCACCCCTGGCCCACGTCCAGTCCTGAGAAACCCCACCCTTCTCCACCCACACTGACAACTGCAGTGACACCAGGCCTGGACACCAGCTCCCATCCTCGGGCCCTGGCACACTGCCCTTATTCGGGATTCTCGCCCCTGGCCCAGCGCCTGGCACTAACTGGGTGCTGGCTCACTCCAGTGTGGGACCTCTTTCACTCAGGGCATCAGTGGGTTTCAACTGAGGTGTGTAAGTCTACCAGACGATAGCGACCCCCTAGAATGCTGGGTTAAGAAGGATTCGGAGGCTGCATCCACATGCACTGGTAGATTGATAATGTCTGCCTGGGTAGAGGAGAGACCTTGGCAGTGAGCTGGCAGGATGCTTGCCATCCCTGCCCTAGGATCTGATGGCAGTGACCTTGCAATGCCTCCTCCCTGCTCCCTGCCAAACAGTCCGCGGCCGGACCCCTGGGCATGCTGGCTGTGCTCAATGCAGCTCCCAGGGTCAACCGCCCTGAGCTTTGTTGGGAGGAGCCGAGTGAGACCCCTTCTAGGGGCTGGAGTGGGCTTTAGAAGCTCAGCCCCTCGGGCAGGCTGGTGCCCAGCCCTCCCAGTGGGGCCGGGACTGAGTGTGGGCTCATGGTGACGGCTGTTTCATTCCATCCCATCGAAGTCCACCCACCATGCCGTCCTGTAGAGCCCTGGGCTCAGCCTCTCCCAGCACACACACAGGCCCCAGCTGCCCCAGGTGTGGGGTCTGGCAGCCTGGGCTGGTTCCCAGGCTGAGAGGAGCAGCTCAGAGCAGGGGCAGGTGCCTCTGGAACTCAAGCAGCAGCAGGGTTCCTGGGACCCAGGCAGTCCAGGGACAGTCCTGGGCTCCTGGCCCGCACTTGGCAGGAAGAATGAAGGTCCAGGCCACCTGCCGCAGCTCTGCAGACCTTGGCAGAGGGCCGGGAAGGGCCGGGGCCTGGGGCTCGCCACGGGCCTCAAGCTGCGGAGGACAGCAGAATCTCAGAACTTGGAGCGGGGCGCATGCCAGTGTGACCCCTAAAACTTTCACTGACATCGGCGGCTCTGACTCCAAGGAGCTCGGCTCTAGGGGCTGCCCCACCCCACCCCTGTGCTGACTTTCTGTCCCTGGCTCCGCGCCCTGTCCTCCTGTGGCTCCAAGACCCCTGGAAGGGATGTTCTGGACACAACTGTGTCGTCGCGCCCAGGGATCCCAAGTGCTTGGAGCCAAGGGAACCACCTGCCCCAGCCCCACACACAGACACGCACATCTGCCCAGCAGTGGGCCCGGGCCTCTCCCCAATGTGGGCAGACCATGCTGAGGGCATCCTGGCCCTGGGTCCCGGGGCAGCCTTCACACCAACAGCCTTGCCAAACCCCGGCACTGGGACCAGAGGGAGCCGATGAAATGTCATCCTGGGCGCTACCGAGTGCCGCCTGGCCTCGCCTAGAGCTCGGGATTGGCCCGGAGCCCCTGGCTCACGCCCACCTTTATTCAAACCAGGGCCAGGCAGGAGGGACCGGCGAGGTGCTGTAACCCCTGCCCTCAGCAGCTGATTGGACAAGGGGCACATGAGGGGAGTCACGGGGTGCTGGGGCTCCGGCATGAACACTAGCGAGGCAGGAGAGGCGGGGTGCAGCGAGGGGCTGGCGGCAGGAGGGGGGCCCCAAGAAGGCCCTAGAGGGGGCAGAGGTCCAGACCTTGGGCTTCCCTCTGGCTTGGGTGAAGCTGGCCAGAGGGGGCCTGTCCGGCAGGGCAGTGGGCTCCCCATCTGGGATCTGGGGAACTTGGGCCCCTTCGCCACTGATATCCCCGGACCTCAGGGCAGCCAGCTGTCCCCACCGGCCCAGCTCTCCCTCAGCACGGACAGGGGACAGATAGTCCACAGTCCCATCAGGCAGATTCAGAGGCCATTTGACCTGTTAAGGAAATGGAGGCCAGGAGAGGGGATGACAGGGTTTGGGGAAAGGGGTGGGTCCGGGGCTGGGAGGGGGACAGGGCACAGAGCCCCTCTAGGCAGTTCTGGAAGACGGAGCTGCAGGAGCCGGGAGGGCTTCTGAGGTCACACGGTGGTGGAGACGCTGGGTAGGACCTCTGCCCCTCACACAGACATGCATGGCCCACTCCCACTCACTCCCAGAGGCCCTGCTGGGCCCTGAGGTCTCAGAAGGGACAGGGGGACAGCAGGGAGCCCTAGAAAGCTCTTTGGTGCAGCTCCTGCCCCTACTGAAGGCTGGCCCAGCCCCGAGGGACAAGTGGCCGCCAGGGTGAGTATGGCTCCAGCAAAGAGGCTGGCCAGGCCCCTGCCAGTGCTGGCTCCTGTGCCCACTGCTGCCCAAGGCCTCGAGTTGCCCAGGCTGGGGAGCACAGCCATCCCAGCCCCCACCGCTCCCCGGCTGAGCCCCCAGGAACAGAATCCCTTTTCATTGGCCCTGTGGGTGGTCCCAGCCCAATGGCTGGGGGTGGGGTGAGAGGGGGGGCTGGGCTCGCTGACAATTGGATCAGCTATGCTGCACCCCCACCTCCACCCCATTCTGACCCGCCCAGGGCATGCTGGCTGGACACTGGCTCACCCCTGTCTCAGGCCAGCTCTACCACCCACCAAGCCCAAGCCCTCGAGGGGACTGTGTGCCTCTGGCAGGCCCCCTCACTTGGGCGAGCCTGGGGGCCCAGGAGGCCTGGGGGCTGGAGAGACAGGCTCTGCCCACCCCACCCCCCCGGCCAGATGTTCTGGGGTGGCCCCTCCAGCCCTGGGGTGCCTCCCCTGGACCCCAGCTGCCCCACCAAGGAAGCAGGAAGCCCTGGCTCTGCTCTGACGGCTGCCCCCTGATGGTGGGCTGGGTCCACCCACGGAAAGGTGGGAGTGGAGGGGCCACCTGGGCCCATCCCCCAACGTGGGCTGCACTTGCCAGCCTGTCCTGGCCGCTTTGCCCGTAAGACCTTAAGATAAGAGCCCCTTCAGGGGCCTGGCCCTGGCCAGCCCCAAACCAGCTTTGCTGGCACCTGTCTCTCTGCCCACCTGGGGGGGTGGCAGAAGGAAGTACCACAGGGGGAGAGCCAGGCTTCTGAGCAGCCCTCCCAGGCAGCCCACCATGCCTGCTGACCCCCACTCTCCGGCCGTGTCGCGTGCCCCCGCCTGCCTCCCCCTTCCCTCTGTACACATAAGGCAGAGAAACGGGCCCCGGCACGCAGGGAGCCAGCTGGCACCCAGTCAAACTAGCAGCCAGGCACACTGCCAGGGCAGCCAGCCAACGAATGCTGCCACTCGCTCCAGCCCCGCCCGCCGGCCTTTCCGCTCCACACTCACAGCGAGGCTGCCGGCACCACGTGGCCTGTCGGGGAGCAAGGCTGCAGCGGGCAGACAGGCAGAGGGCGGAGGGCGGGGGAACCCCCGCGGGAAGGGAATCCCGGGGCGGGTCATCTTAACTGAAGGCAGAGAAGGGGAGTTGGCCAGGGGGTCAACTGAGGCACCGGCCTGGAGGGTGCATGTGGTATATGGTCCCCAGGACTGACCCAGGCTAGCTGCTCAGGTGGGGCACGCTCCCCCCGACTCATCTGCAGCCCAGGTGGGCCCTGCTCCTCACCCACCTTCTGTTCTGGAGCCTGGGTGGGTGGCTCAGAGGCCACGGCTCACTTCCCCTTGCCCAGCACCCCAACACACAAGCCCTCTCACCCCAGACTGTGGGCACATGCAGACTGAGAAGGTGCTGGCAGTGTTTCAGACTTGGGTGGGCAGACAGATGACTACCAGTCCTCAGGAGCCTTAATGCTCAGTACCGAACCCTCTTCCTGCTGGGGTTCCCCCTGCCTTGAAGGAACTGCCCCCTCCAGGATGCAGGACAGTGGGGGGGCAGGCAGGGGCCAGCACTGGCCAGGATACCACACCCACATGGACTCCCCTGGGGCTGCAGCCGAGGGCCGTGGGGTGCCCCGAAGGCTGGAAGTGACCCCGTGGAGGCGGCCGCTGGCTCAGGGGAAGTGAGCGCTGAGGCCGTTGAGGGCACTGTCTGCCTCCCAGCAGCCCCAGGGGGCAGGACGGGGGCACCTTCTCCCAGGGCCCCAGGGCAGGTGGTGCTGCCCACAAACCGTCCTGCTCCCCGCTGAGGTCCCCACCGGTGGGGTGGAGGGGAAGAGGGATATTTGCCCCCTGATGCAGAGCACCGCCACCCCCAAGCCTGGCTGGGGGCCACTGCTGTGAGGAGGGGGACCCAGCCAGCCAGCCTGTTGGGCCCCTGCACCTGTGTGGGGGCTGGGGCAGGGCAGCAGCCGTTATTTCAGTTGAGGTGGCCCCATGCTTGCTCCCTGACACTCCTGCCTGAGCCAGGAGATTGCCGGCAGACACACAAGGGTAAAAGGTGGGGCTGGCCGTGTGGGGAGCGCGTGGGCCCGAAGGCCAGCCCCTCCGCACTGGGTCTCCCTTCCAGGCGGTGCAGGCAAGGCTGGGTCAGCGACCCTGCTCTGCCCACCTGGCGCTCAGGGCTGGTCCAGCCTCCTCTCCACTGGGAAGAAAGCTGCTTCTTATCACCTGCCCAACACGTGCGCTCCGCACGGGGCTTAAAGCCCAGATTGTTTCAACAGCCGCCCCTCAGTTGTCACCTGTCCTGTTTGGAAAACAGCCCCTTTCTTGGTGCACAAAGAGAGGCTTTTCTTGCTCTCCAGCAGCACAAGACAGTAGGCCCCCTACCTGGAGCGCGGCCGTGGCAGGCACAGCGCGTGGGGCCGCGTGCTCCGCACATGCAATGTGCACCGCTCAGCAGCCAGGGAGTCATGGCAGTGCCAGTGCCAGGAGCAGGGGGACCTCTGTGACCACTGCCAACTGCAATTACTTCTCCTCGTGCCAGCCACCGCCGGGCTTCACCCTTCCCACCCTGCTGGAGTTGGGGCAACCAGATACCAGCAGCCATGGGCTGGGGACATTAGGGCCGAGGCTGCCACCCATGCCACAGTGCCAAGGGGCTGAGCAGACAGCAGGGTGCTGGGTGGGGGGTGCCTGTGCTGAGTAAGCCAAGAGGAGCCCCAGATGCCTCGAAGGGCCTCCAGGGGCCCTCCTGCCAGTCATGCCGCCCGTGTGCCCAGGCAGAGGTCAGAGGCCTGGGAAGGACACTCCTCCAGGCCAGGCCCCGAAGGTGGCAGCCTGAGTATGTTAACAGTTCCCTCCTCTCTGCCCCTCTCTCCCAGCTGGCACATCTGGAGTCCATGCGTCCCCAAGTCTGGGGAGGTGGGCGCAGCCCTGCCCAGCCAGCCCAGCTGTGTTCCACATTTCCTCGCTCCCTGGAGCCCTCCCAGCTCCACCCCCTCTCTCCTTCTCTGCCCATCTGTGGTGCACATCTGGCCAGGACCACTGCCTGGAGGGACCTGCCCCCCATTTCCAACCAATTACCACCTCTGCCGTGAGGTCCTCCTTGGTAGGGAGGCAGCCCCTCCCAAGAGCACTTGGCAGGGCCTGCCAGCCAGCTTGTGCCCACCGAGGGGGCCCTTTGCCTTGCCATGCCCGGGCACCTGGTCAGTCACCGCGGCTGCAGCGCTCTGCTGGGAGCCCGGCCTGACTTACCTTCGTGGGGGGGGGAGAACCAGATCTGAGAGGCGGCAGGGTGGGAGCCACGGTAGGCCTGCTCCGAGGAGGAGGGTGCGGTGCCACCAGGGTGCGCAGAGGCTGCCGAGCCCAGGCTGCCAGTGAGGAAGCCACCCATGAAGGAGGGGGCCGGAGCATTCCCCATCAGATGGCTGCTGGCTGTGGGCACAGGGGGCGAGAGTAAGTCTGGGCCGGAGGTCCTGCCACGGAGCCCTTTGCCAGCGGACCCTCGGGCCCCAAGTTTCAGGGGCTTTTGTTGGCAAATATCGGAGAAGCCAGCGCTGGGAGAAGCTGCCCACTTGGACCCCTGATCTTCACAGTTGGGGCCCAGAGGCCCTGATGCCTATTACTGCAAAACCCACAAGAATGGCACTTCTGAAGCTACCATGTCACCCACCACCACCTGACCCCCACCCCCCACCAACCAGGTGCCAGGTGCTGTGCCAACACACACAGGGCCTGTGAGGAAGAAACCGCCCTGCAGGCAGGCCTGCTCCCTGGAGAAGAGCCCCTGGCACTCCCAGGCCGAGGTGGTGGGCAGCAACAAGGCCTCCTAGCTGTACCCACACCTCCCCGAAAGGCTCAGGTCAGCAGAGCCTCACCAGAGGCCCTGCCCCAGCCCTGCGGGACCAGCAGTCTCAGCCCACCTCCTAGGTGGCACTGTGGGGATGGCGTCTCCCCAAACGGATATTCCACTTTTTCCCCAGATCTAACTAAAATAGCCTTGTCAGACTGGGGTGTCCATCCCAGATGAGCAGGAAGGGAAACTGAGGCAAAGGCAGAGAGAGGGCTGGGAGGAGCCCAGGGTGGAAGGGTGTGGCATTTCCGACCCCCTGGGGGTTCTCGGGTCCGAGCCCGCGCTGGGCTGGCATGGAGACGCAGCCAGCCACTTACCCCCAGGACACCGGCATTTCCCAGCAGCTGGCCTCCACACCCTGTCCACCAGTCCCCCTGCACCTTCAGCCACTCTGTCCCCTCTCTGCTCAAGGCCAAGGCCAAACAAGCCTCCCTGGGTCTCCATGGCGATGGGTGGCTTGCACAGGAAGGACACAGGTGCACAGAAGCTCAGGGCAGAGCAGCCCCCATGCCTGGTGGGCAGTCTGGGCTGTGCTACCTGGCTCCCACCTGGCAGGGTGCCCTGGCACCTCTGTTCTATGGGCAGTGAGCCTGGCTTAGGTCTATCCCAAGGGATGCAGGCTTGCTGTCCATTGGGCTGAGCGTAGGGGCCTGGCAGGGATTGCAGGGGCTCTGGGGGCCCCCAGAGGCTGCAGGCACGGCCCCAGGTGAGTCAGGGCAGCTGTTTCCCTGACCAGGGGGCAGGGGGAATTTGTGAATTTTTGATGCCTCATCCAGCCTGGCTTGGCCCTGGGAGCTTCCCAGACAAGGGGTGACTCAGCAGAGAGGCAGCAAGGCCTGGGGCTGCGGGGGAGCGGGAGGGGGTGCCCCGGCCAGGACCCTGGCAGCTCCCCGCCCCTTTGCTCCTGTGCATGAATGGGACATCTGGATGAGAGGGGCCTCTCCTGGACACGGGCCCAGAGGAAGGGTCTGAGAGAGGAGAGCCGGCTGGGGCCCAGGGTGTGACAGGTGTGCGCTGACTTCTGTGGTGGGTGTCAGGCTGCAGAGAGATCCTAAGAGGACCCAGGGGCAGGGGGCAAAGATGCCCAGGAGCCAGGGACTTCCCAGACCTCAGGGCTGGGACGGCCATGGGCCATGGCCAGACCACAGGCACATCCAGCCAGGGGAGGAGTCTCTGGGCGGGAAGGGAAGTGCTGGCCTCCCGGGGCAGCGGGCGGAGGGTGGGAGGCCCTTGCGAGACCCCAGGGACTCCAGGCGGCCATGCCTGTGGGATGACAGGAGGCCTCTTCCTGCCTCGCCCAGGCCCGCCCCCGCCCCCTCCCAGGGAGGTCCCTCCCCCGCCTGCTCCTCCCGGGACGGTGGGAAGCAGCCCAGGCCAAGAGCTGGGTCTGGAGAAAGGATTTCCTCAGGGGCTCAGCCTGAGAACCCCGCACCTGGGGCGCTCCCACAGCCTAGGGGGCGGGAGGCGGGGCGGGCCTGCCCAGGGTGGGAGGGAAGGCAGCTCTAGGCAGGGGCCTGATGGGCAGATCCCGGGAAAGGGCAGAGGCAGCCCCCTCCCTGGGTCCCCATGCCCCTGCAGGGGCAGCCAGCCACCGCTGAAGACCCACTATGCATGCCCCCAAGGCCACGAGCCTGTGGAAGGCCTGAAGCCTAGCAGGTGTCTCACCCAACCAGACCCCTGCCCTGGAACTGGGGGGAGACAGCACTCCCCCCAGGAGACAGCCTGGCCTCGGGCGAGGACCATGTCCATGGGTACCTTGTTCCGACCCCATCTCAGAAGGGGCTCCTGCTGCACGGGTCCTGGGGGAGGCACCGCAGCTCAGCTGGTCCCTGCTACCGCTGCACATGGACACACCAGTGACCGGTTGTGTTTCCTGCCCTGGCCGGAGACCCCGAGCTGGGCCTACATCACCCCATGCAGGCCTGTCTTTTGACTTGGGGGCCTCCTGGGGTACTGCCTCACAACTGGTTATTCTGAGTCCACAAGGAGGGGACCCCTGCCTCAGAGTGTGGGAAATGAGGGCCACGGGATGCATCCAGTCAGGCCCCTATCCCTTGGGCCTCAGGCCAAGGCTCCCCTGGCCCAGCTTTGCTCCAAGCCTTCAAGGCACTCCTGCCCACCTGACCTGACCTCCAGCCCTGTGGGCACTGATGGGCCCCTGGCAGGCGGCAGGCGGGCCTCAGGCCAGCAGCCCATCTGTGTTGGGGGTCTTCTCTGTGCCTTCCTGCTTTCACCATTCAAGTTGTAAAGAAAAGCACCTCCTCATGCAAATACAACGTCCTTACATGGCCATCATAAATGCTCCCGAAACAGGGCAGAGGAAGGAAGCAGAGGTCATCCTCCCCCTGGGCCACCACGTGAGCCCATGCAGGTACCCAGGGGCCTCTGCCTCATACCACCCTGGCTCTCACGCTCCCTGGCCAGCAGGTGGGCCCTGAGGCCATGGGCGCTGGGCAGGTGCACAGCCAATGCCGACAGGGCCCCCAGCCTGGGTCCTGCTCAGTGGGGCTCCATGATCCTTGCTTGGAAGGGGTCAAACTCTTCCCAACCATCCTGGACTAGAAGTTTGGAGGCACCAACCAAAGGTCCTGCAGGCCCAGCCAGGTAGACACTTTGGGATGGGTTGGTGGGGGGCTACTGGCCCCAGAGTGCCCCCCACCGCCGGCTCCCGACTGGGGACAGAGTGTCCTCACTCCGTTGTCACCTCCACCTCTGAGGAGTTTGGCACTGGCATCGTGCCACGTCCCCCCAGCCCCACCCGCCAACCAAGAGCCAGCCCCAGACCGAGCCCGAGCAGAGGCGGCCTGGGCCCTGGCCGGGCCCCCAGCTGCACGGCCAAGTCTGGCCGGGAACTGGCTGGAGGCTCTTTCCCTCTTGGCAAGGTCCCTGCCCACGGGGTGCTGCGGTTACCAGCCTGGGCGGGGACAGTGGGCGCCCCTAGCTCTGGGCCCGGCCCTCCCAGGCTGGGAGCCCCCATCCCGGCACCACCAGTATCGACCCCTGCACCTCCTCACAGGCTCTCAGCAATCCCCGTCACCGCAGTCCCAGGTGTGAGCCGGCCACAGGGCTGACACAGGGACAGGATGTAAGTCTGGGCCCCATGGTCCTAAGTGCCCAGGCGGAGGTCTGAACAAGGCCCGTCTCCCCCAGCGTGCATGGTTAAGGTGGCCACACCTGGGTTCTCCATTGGCTCTTGTCCAAGGGGTACAGCCCGTGTTTACAATTACCTTGGGAAGGGGATTGAATGCCGTGCACAGTGTCAGCAGGGCCACAGAGGAAGGCCATTCTGTCCTGCCCATTGGCCTCCAGCCTGGCCAGACCCAGCCAGCGCCTGCAGTCCCACACAGGACTCCAGCGCCGCCTCAGCTCCACCCAGCACATCCCGCAGGGGCCTGGCCTGGGTGCTGGGCTGGCTGAGAAAACTGCTCTGGAAGCCAGCATGCCTGGGAGGGCCGACTGACACCCCCTGGCAGCCCAGCTCCTTGGGCACAGCCCACTCCCCTGGTGGCCTGTGTGATGTGAGGGCTGAAAGCACCTGGGCGGGGAGACAGGCTGTGCTGGACACTGGCTGCAGCGCTGCCTACCTCTTAGCTGCCCCTCATACAGGAGACCAGCTGCAGCACCCTAACTTCCTGAGGTTTTCAGGTGACCATGGAACCCAGCCTTTGCCCCCAGGGCCACTATACAGAGTGACTGACACCAAGCAGGTGGCAGCAAGCTGCACTGTCTGTGGCAAAAGGGGCCCTACTTGGCCAAGCCAAGGAAAACAGGGCCTTCCCCTGCCAACCGCTTGCCAGGCCAGCCCCACAGATCTGATGGGCAGCAAGGCTGGTAGAGCGCCCATTGCACACCCAGAGCTCGAGGGGCCAGCACACTAGAGGCTGGGGCTGGGGACCTGGCTGCAGGTGCCCACCAAGGCCGTCCACTCCACTGTCCCTCCCTGCCAGGCTGCCCTGGGTGTGGATCCAAGCTAGGGACAGAGGGAGCACAGGGAAGGAGGGACGGATGGGTGGGGCTGGCAGGGCTGGGCAGAGTGGGCAGGAGCCCAGAGCTGCAGTAGAACACACATTGGTTCTGACCCAAGTGAGCACCCAGACAGACACTCCTTTTCTGGAAACTGCAAAGTGGGTTGTAGAAAAAGACCTCACCGGGCTGGCTGGCAGCAGCTCCTGAGCCCACCCTGCCCCAGGCTCTTGGGCTCCTGCATGTTCAGGGGCCCAGCCTCCGGGCTGCTCCGCAGCACTCCCGGGCTCTGCCTCTGGCGGCTGTACCCTCGGCTGGCTCCCACCCTGCCACTCACACCTGCTCAGGGTCCCTTCCCCTAGCACTGTACCTCCCCCGGGCCCTTGCAGAGCCCACCTGGGTGCCTGGGACACCCAGCACCCCCTAGGGACATACTTGGGTTTGCCCCAGGACACCAGTGGTGGCTGAGATACTGGAGCCTGGGAGGCCACAGCACCCTCCCCCACCAAGCCAGGCCCCACAGGGAGCTGAGAGGAGAGAAGGAGGCGGCAGGAAGGATCAACAGCCCACCGCATGGACCTGGCCCACATTCCTCTCATCTCAGGAGGGGAGGGAGGCG